CAAAACTACAATTTCTACAACATACAAAAGAAGCATGTGCAAATATGTATTATTTTGTGCATGTGTGTGTATCAGAAAAAATATAGGCACATATACTTAATGCTGAAGTGTACTTTGGTTTGAGAAGTTTAGAGGGCATCAGTGTAGGAAATAAATGGAAACCATGGTGGCATAATATTTTTTAAAGTTAAGATTCCTTTCTGGCTGCACTTTCTATGCAAGCTAGGGCTGATGGGAATTGCATTCCAATTACATCTGGAGGGCCACATGCTTCCCGTCCCTGGTCTAAGCAATTCCTTACAACATCAGACTCTGAAAATAAAGTAAGGTTTTCAAGGCCAGAGGACTCCAACATGGTGACATTCTGATCTAGAGTGTGCCCATCATGGCTTTAACGAGAAAAAAAGGTAATTCTTCAGTCCATTCACATCTGCTCATAATATTGGCAGAGGCTGAAACATTGTTGGCAAAAGCTCTTCAAGGTGATAAGAATGATTTGGGAGCCAAGCCTCAAAGGTTAGCAAACTATAAAAGGAAACTTTGTAAAGATTACACCTGACAACAAAAGCCATTTTTACCATTCCTGGGAAGCAGATAATCTTCTGGGAACTTGCAATTTTCTACTTTAGTGAAAGTGCCATTATTGAAACAGTCACTTCAGCCCAATTACTGCCCTATAAATGAATCACGGGAAGAAGCCCTGGGCTCTGCACCAAAGCAATGACCACAGCACTGCATGAGGTGGCCTTGGGGTTCCTACTGAAAAATTGTTCAGATAAACACCAGATAAAGCTTCTGGTGTTTGACATTTTTAGTTCCACTTCTTTCCTGGAGGGAAACTTATCACTGGGACCCATCTTGCTAAATCTGTTTGGAGTTGCCATGCATCATCTTCCTTCTGAAAGCAGGCTAAACAGTTGGAGCTTTATTGCTGGGAAAGCAACCAAAGGAGAATGATAAAGCAACCCGTCTTGCTACAAGGAGCCCATTTTGAGAAGTGTGTGCGAAGGAGGCCCAATGTTCCACTCCCAAAAAGACCTACTGACAAGTTCCACTCCTTTTTCCCACCGTCTTTTCCTGTTTGAGGTTGCAGCAAAAAATGGAGTTCAAGAAATGGAGCTGACAAGCCACTTAGTTTTTCAGATTAAGAAGCACCGGTTGCTGATCCTTCACGAATGCTTTGGGGGGTCGGGGGTTCTAGATCCTTACTCCTTCTCTCAAAATATGAAAACGTAGAATAATCCCTTGCTTCTAGAACCCTCTTCCCATGCTTCAGCTCTCAACTCTCCCTTGCTTTTATATTCTCAGAGATTCCAGCTTTAAACTGTAAGCACCTTGGAGGAAGGGATCGTTTGCTTTGTGCTTTGCCATCCCTGTAGAGTGTATTGTAGGCTGGGTGGATGGCAACTGGGAAAAGGGCCTTTTCAGTGGTGGTGCCCCGAATCTGGATATCCCTCCCCAAGGAAACTTGCCTGATACAATGAGTTGTATATCCAATGTGGTGTAGTGGTTTAGAGTACTGGACTGGGGACCCAGGACATCTGGGTTCAAGTTTTCACTCACCTACGAAGCCCACTTTGGAACAGTCACTGCCTCTTAGCCTACAATATCTCACAGGGTTGTTGTTGTGAGGATAAAATGGAGTGGAGAACCTTGTAAAGTGCCTTAAGTTCCTTGCAAGAAGAAAAGCAAGGTATATATGCAATACAATAACTATAGTAATCACAATAGGCCCTTGGCTAAAACTTTTTAATCCGGCCAGGATTAAAACATGTTATCTGCTCTTGCAGGCTTTTATTTTTTTCAGTTGTATCTGCCAACTTTGCCTCCTGCTGCATGTCATATTGTTGCGATATTGCAGTACTCCACTGCTTTCTGTGTGACATTAAAATCCTGAACTTCCAAGGCAGCAGACACATTGCGAAAGACAGCAAATCGCTCATAAAGAAATCAGAAGAAAGGAGCAAAATCGCAGGGAACCTGCGCGCCCTCATCCACCGGGCAAAGGCAGAGCAGCTTCCCAGTGCCCCATCCCCTCACCAGAAGAGCTGCCCAATCGTTGTTCTGGAATTGCAGAGGCGAAGGGAGCTGCACGTTGGCAAGGAGAGCACGGACTGCTGGACCGTGTGCGTTTGGAGGGTGCACACGGGTGTGAGAGCACCATTCATCTGAAGTTCCCTTGAGAAGCATTCAGTCTCATGGCAGGATATAAACCCTCCCATAATATTGACTGTCAGACTTCTCCTACATCACCCTTCATAACATGCTGTCTGTACTGGGATGCTGTTTTATATACTGTAAAACCACACGGTATTTTTTTTAAAGCTGCCAGCTTATTAATTAGCCAGGGTTACTCTAGGAAAGTTTCTAATATTTTCAACTGAACCTCCATCCGTCCTCTTGGACAAACTTGGTGTCAGAAGAGGTCAGGCGAGGGAGGGATCTCCATACTTAGGTTAAAGGCTACAAACCAGGTGTGCCCTAATTTGCAGTGTGCAGATCCAGCCCAGCGAACTCCTCCTTCAGAAAGTAAACACAACGTGTTTGGAGTCATAACCTGTGCAGTACACAGCGCACAGTCTGCCTTGGGCAAGTCTGAAGGAGGCCTCAGAGGCTGTACAGAAAAATGTGTGTTTTATATGCTTCAACATAAACATTTTTATTTGCTCCTCCCCCTCCAAAAGATTCTTGTGCCTCTCCTTTCCAAATATATCTATTGCGAGTCATTTGAATTTAGGATGAAGGGCGCAGAAGATTAAGTGCTTCAGGAAGAACTCAGTAATAGGGCAAAGGGGGCTGGGCAGGGGAGCACTGCAGTCTGCAGCTAGGTAGACGGTCCCCTTTGCCACCTGAACCCAGCCTGGCCATTGGTAGATAGGTAGAGGTAGGCCTCCTCCTCCTCCTCCTCCTCCTCCTCCTCCTCCTCCTCCTCCTCCTCCTCCTCATCTTTTCTCTTGCAAGAAAGCCAAGGTGACTCACACATCCTCTTCCTCTCTGTTTAATCCTCACAGCCACCCTATGAGGTAGGTTAGGCTGAGAGTCAGTGATTAGCCCGAGGTCAGCCACGGAGCTTCATGGCTCAGAGGCCTCCTGAGTCCAAGTCCAGTACTCCAGCCATTACACCACGCTGGTTCTCTTACACTAAATTAAGAAGGCTGCACAGAGCATTTCTGGAGTCTGCCTCGCTGTATTCCTCACAACAGCACTGAAAGTTGGGCCATCCCCTCTTTGCAGACGGAGGGCTGAGGCTAGGAGAGGATGACTTTACTGAGGTCTGCCTGCTGCCAACTCTGTTATCTTTTTGGCACCAGATCAGGACTGTCCTCTACGATGTGGCACTTAATTAGCTTTAATATTATATGGGGACATTAGGTCAGATGCGTAAAAAGGTCATGTGGTTTAATTTGTATAACTGAATTGGTATTGTAGCTTTTAACAATTTATTTTAAATGTGGCTTTTAATATTTCATTGTATGATATTTGTATTGTTCTCTGTATTTTACGTTGTGCTTTGTGTGTGGTTGTAAATTGCCCAGAGACCTTGTCTGCCATCTGGGAAGAAGGGGATTCTGGAGAGAGGAAGGACTTGTATGTAGCTCAAAGCTCAGAGTAATGTTAGGTAAGTGATTGCACATGCCCAGTTCTGGCTTTTCCCCAGGGTCCTTTGCGAGCAGGTGCTGCAGGGGCACCCCTTTCCTGTCCTGTCCTGTCCTGTCCTGTCCTGTCCTGTCCATCCCAAGAAGCCTCACACTCCACTCTCATGGAAAAACTCTTCTCACTGCTGAGAGGGAAGGAGGGAGCATTGTTCCCGGGCTAAAAGCAGCTCTGCAGTGCCTGTGTGATTCTCCCTGGGACTCTGGCAGGGGGAAAGGCTACCCTAACCCCCCCACTCCCCAGCTGGTCCCTGATCATGATCTCATCCCACACAGCTGTTTAGAAGAAGGAAAACACTGGACATGCAAAATACATGCGCTTACCATTCTGCCCAGATTGGCCCTAAGCCACTAGATGACGCAAGCACTATGTCTTTTTGGATCAAACTGAATAACCAAGTACAAGCACCACACCTAAGGTCGCCTCACTCTTGCAAAGAAAATTACTTCCAGATCACAAGAAATAGTAGTTCCGCTATATGCCTCACTAGTCAGACCTCACATGGAATCCTGTGTCCAGTTCTGGGCACCAAGATTTAAGAAATCTATGCAGGTAAATTAGAAAGGGTCCAGTGGAGGGCAACAAAAATGATCCAGGGTTTAGAAACACTGTCTTGTGAGGAGAGACTGAGAAAACTGGGCATGTTCAGCCTTAAGAAGAGAAGACTGAGTGGGGACATGATATCCCTCAAAGAGGGATATTAAGTACCTCAAAGGCTGTCACAAAGGAAGGTCAAGATCTCTTCTCACTGATGCTGGAGTGTAGGACATGGAATAATCAATTCAAGCTGCGACAACCCAGATTCAGGCTGGACATCAGGAAAAGCTTCCTCACTGTCAGAGCACTACAACAGTGGAACCAGCTGCCTAGCAGGGTGGTGGGCTCTCCCACACTAGAGACATTCAGAAAGAAACTGGACAGCCATCTGAGTGGGATGGTATAATTTGGGGTCCTGCAACAGCAGAGGGTTGGACTTGATGGCCTTCATGGCCCCTTCCAACTCTACTAGTCTATGATTCTATGAAGCCGTCTCAGAAAAGCAGAGGGAAATGCCTCATGAAGAGAAGCCTTCAGAGATGTCAGGATGAGACTGTGCAGGTAGGAAAAGTTTCACTTGGCAGGGGAGAGTCGGGGAAGAAGAAAAAGGACGGAGACAAAAGGGCTGTTGCTTCTATCTACATCCTGCCCGTGGCCTTCCTAGAGGTACCTGGTGTGGATGCAACCACACACCAACACTTGGGGCCCTTTTCCTCATTAAATAATCTGCAAGCTGCAGCATTCATGATTGCGAAAGAGCGACAGCTATATTCCAAAAACCTAGCACCGTTTTTCCATCAGCAGTTTACCTGAATCCGTCTTTGCAGACTGTGCATCTGTCCATCTCCCCAGTGCATTTCTTACAGTTCTGATGGCATTTGTGACAACGTCTTTGACCTTTTGGAGAATGTGGAGTAGGGGAAAAAAACAGAAAATTGAAAGGATTAGAGTAAATCATTGCAACCATCTAGTATCGGGTAATAATACTGAGTAATAAGAGTACTCTTGATGTTTTGACAGGGAGGAACGACAAAATAAGCAACTTCGTCATTTCTGCTTGTACAAATAATTGTTGAGACTGCATCCTTTTGGAGACACATCTGAGAAGAATTAAATTGGCATATCCTAAATATTCAGAAACCTGATATACCAAGAGCAGAAATGCAACAATGAAAAATAACGGGCTTATTTTAAAACTTCACAAACTTTAAACTGGCTTTGTGCTGCCAGGAGCCATATTTGTCCCATCTCAAATATGGAAGAGGTTAAATCAACATCTTGATTAAAACCAATCTGGTTACATCATTTGGACATCCTTCACTTACAGCCTGAAATGGGTTCTCATTTCTTCAAAACTAGATTCTCATTTGTTATCGCACCAAGCTTAGAGTAGGGCTGCAGTGCTGACTCAGCTGCAACTGGGAGATCAATGGACCACAGGCATCCTTGACTAATTTTCAGGGGTCCTACTTGAAGAGGCGGGGACAAATGTTAATTGATAGAGCTTTGTATTAAGAGTGCAGTTTATTTGAGAGGCACTTTGCTTGCTGTGTGTTACTGAAAGAGATGGTGTAAAAGAGCAACTTCATCTGCTTCATCTGCATGTCAGATCTGATCTCTTATCCTTCCTTCATCTAAGAGTATGACAGTATGCAAAATCTGAAATGAACAGGCAGGCTGAACAAAAACCACATGCCTTTAAATGCGTTGATGCCTTCCCGTGATAAGCAGTTCCCTCCCTTACCCTCCTCAGAGTAAAACCCAGATGGACAGAGCATCACGCAGGTGTTAGTTTCCTGGTGGTGGTAGAAGCCACGCCGGCAGGTCATGCATGAGTTCTGGCTCCTGCCCAGGCATGTCTCACAGCCCCGGTGGCATCGCCGACACTTTCGCTGCACACTGTCTCCGAAGTAGCCAGCGGGACAGGAATTCACACACTTCCTGGAAAAGAGACCACAACACTTCTGTTTCATTCAGTTTTTAAAAACAGAAGGACTAAAAAGCCTGGGGAATCCAAATCCTCTTCCTCTGGTGCCCAAAGGACCACAACATGGGTGTCAGAGAAGCCTGTTTGAGAAGGGCCTTCCAGAGTAGCCCCCCACCTCACTCCATTTTGCAGGGTACCTGTAGAAGTCCTCTGAAAATTATCTTAGGATGTAAGGGAAATGATCCATCATTTACTGATGCCTTTGCCAAGCCTTGACTGAGGGACGCCGTTGTTGCTTTACTGAGAGCAGGATGGAATTGTCCATTGTCCATCCAGGATTGTGGAACGCTTAGCTTAGAATAACAACCACCCCACAAATGATCCTTCAAGTGATTACAGGGAATTATAGCAGTCTATTCTGTGCTGAAGACCACTGAACAATTTTAGGCCAGGATTTCAGTCCCAGGTCCAAATCTGCTCTCAGCCATGAGCCTAAGTGAATGACTTTGGGCCATTCATGCATTCAGTACTCATCCCGTCTCACAGAGTTTTGAGGAATAGGACAATAGCCAGGGAAAAACCCCTGATAGCCTTGGGCAGGATGAAAATATGTACATGTACCTTTGGGCGCCACTGCCCGCATGCTGCAGATGGGGAAATGATGCTGAATTGGCGGCAGCAGGAATGAAAGAGAGAGAACCAGTACCTGTCTGAGTAGAATTTGGCAGGCTTGATCTCCTCCAAAGAGGCCAACAGGCCTGCCAACATTACCCAACTGTATAAAAAGAAAGGAAGTTCTGGTTATTTCTCTCTTTTGTTTTTATCTTTTTATATTACTGTATACCTGCACACATACATACAAATTATCTCTCTCTCTTCAGTACCTATACTTAATTTATTATTATTACTGCATCATTATCATTATTACAGTGCTGCATTGTGTTTAAGATGTTTTAGTGAATATGAAAGTGTTTCTTAGGTGTGCACAGAAAGGTAAAATGTAAGACAAACATTTGGCTTACTCATGTAATCTGACTTACATACAAATTTGGCTGAAGGATATTCTCAGGAACGGAACTCATCTGCAACTCAGTGACTACCTGTATAGGAGGAAGGCTTCTGCTCTCCTTGGCACACTTTGCTCTCCTCAGCAGGACACACAATAGTGCTTCTCCTGTCTGCTGCCTCTGTTCTGTTCCCATGCTTTCCAGGGAGAATAACAGTGCCAGGCTGGGAGCCAATCGTGTAAAGGAAATGGTTTTCTAAACTGCAATCTTGATAAATTTGAATAACAGCCCAGCTTTGTTTAAATAAATTGTGGTTGAAGGAAAGGACCTCACTGCATCACTGAGGGAAGTGCAGATAGGAATATGAGGGGGGAGGTTACAATTCTCCCATCCCCCCACACATACACCCCACCACCACCTCCTTTTTTCTGTTAAAGTTGGCTCTTGAGACTTTGAGAACAGACTTGACTTGAGACCTGGAATAAAGGACTTAAAGTATTCACAGGGCACGCTAAAGCATTGGCTTCTTTGTCATTTTGCAAATTAAGAAGTATGAATGTGTATGGTTTATATTTTCTGCCTTGCTTACCCAACTTGTACATTTATAAGATGTGAACTGGCTTTAAGACTCTCTGCCTGTTCTGCCTTCCATGTAATAAAAGTATTCTTTTTATTCTAAGCATGTCCAAATGTGTTTTAGTGGAGTGAACTGGGAAATACACATCCTCCAGAAGCAAATACTTCATAACGTTGGCAAAAGATCTTATGCCTTGCAAGGGGGATGTGGTGGAAACAAGCATCATACCCAGGGATAAGCTCAGATGTAAAGCTGATGGTAACAGATGGATCACAGGTCCAACCTACTTCCAGGCATTCCATAGCATATGATGAGGTGTTTCAGTGCATGCATTCTATCAAGTCTCAGTGTTCCCTGTACCTGTTTTTTATAATATTTTAACTGTTTTTTAAAAAAATATGGTGTTAAAAGCATCTACATTATATATTTCCTACTCTGACATTTATGAATGAATGAAACAATAGCTTTACATGTTTATACAATGGCTTACAATTGATGGATTTGCACATCATGACACACACCCTGGCAATAAGCCAGGTTCAGGGGGCCATTGTGGGTTATTTCTCCCATCCTTGCCCTCCTTAAATGGGGGTTTTGATGGGGCAATGGGATAGTTTGGTTGGGACCTATGGTTAAATACCTCCCAGTCCATAACCCCCATTGCTCTATGAAAAGCAACTTTTAAAGGGATTCTGGCAGCTGTCAGTACTCCTTCTCCCCAGAAAAAGTTGTGGAAATGCAAGGAGAGTCTTGGGGGAAATTGCAAAATGTGCAACTCCCAGAGGACTATGATGAGGAAAGGATCCCATGCCATGGAGGGGTTTAAATCCCACCATCTCCTTTCTGTGAACAAAGATCACTTGAGCCTGTTCTCTTGCTTGGCAGCTCAGCCTGACAGCTACCAAACCCAAGGTGGAAAGAGCAGTGCTCAGCAGGCACCAACCCTGCCCAATAAAGCTTCCTGGTTTCCCCAGACATGCAGAAGTGTGGCTAAAATCTGTTTATGTTTTCCCCCTGCAAGTATTTTTGAAAATTAGAGGGTTCAAAAAAATATTTACGAGCCACAGGCAACCCTGACAAGAATGCCACTTGGGCACAATTTGAAGCAGCTTGTCACACTGCCTTTCATAATCTCTAAAAAAGGTGGAGATGGAAATGTTAAAATGCAAAAAGGGGACTTGAAAATGGCTTTTCATTGCAGTGGGATTCTGGGGAAGCTCATGCCAGCCTCCCCCCATGCTGCCTGGGTACTTGCAAAGGGGCTGACTCTCACAGTGGCCAGGGTATGCACAGAAAGGGGGGCTGCCCCTCTTGCCAAGTGAGTTGCTGGTCCCTGGAGAGTTCATGTGACATATAATGCAATTGCTGCTACAAAAGTCTTACGGGTAGGATTGATACGGCCCTACAAAGAAATCTATTTTTTCCCCGGGCCCTCTCACTGATTACCTGCCCGTTTTAAGGCTTCCAAGGCTGTAGTGGAAACAGTTCAGGCACTGATCAGCATTGGGACCGTCACATCCTTTGTCTCCACATTCTGTATGACACAGACCTTAGAGAGACAGACAGTTTTGCTGAAAGAAGAGATATAAAACTCTCCCTAGTGCAGCCTGTAAAACTGCATCCAGCACTCACATTTTATCAATGCAGCATATACCAGTAGGAAAATAAAACTGGAAATACTATGCTCTGACTGTTCTTTCCCTCACCACCCCAAAATATGACAGAAATCACGATGAGACATAAAACCCAACAGGGCATTTTTGGTTAGTATACACTTCATGCCAGAAGTTCAGCAGTGACAAGCAATCCAACTAGTCCAAGCTTAGTTCTGCCTGGGATTGTAAACCTACCTGTATCTTCAGCCTGCAGGATAGCCTGGAAGGCTAGGCAAGGCCTCTCTTCCTGTTATGATCTGGTCAGGGATATATTTAGTGCGAGAACATTTAGTCCATGGCAACCTCCACCTGGAGTCTGAAGTGTTACCTCTCAGCTTTACTACATCAGGAAGAGCTAGTCCATAGTTTGTATAGAGGTATTTTGTATATCTGCTGTCCAAAACAACAGAACAGCTATTTTAAGGTCCTGAAATATTATCCAGGACCCAGGAGCATCCTAGCTTGGCTTCGTTACTCCATGGACTGGCTATACACACCAAAGGTTTACACTATAATGGCCCAGTCCGTGAATCCTGCAGCCCTTTTCATTTCTAAGCTTCCTTCTAAGCATTGTCTCTATGCCTCCAAAATAGTTTATTGGCAAACATGAAGACCTAAAACTTGCTTAAGGAAAGCCAAGATTCTCATAACAAAATCTGTGACAGAGTCCTGATTTACCAGAACAAGCAGGCAAATTTGTGGTTCATGAGTTCAGAGCTCAGATTTTTTGGATTGTTTTCAGAACTAAACTAAACTATGCAGTTGTGTATGAAACATGTGTGTCTGTGTATTTAGAGGTTTTTCCAACATTTATGGGACCACCTGGAAAGAGACTCCAACACTACAGGAAATTACTGTGTTAATAATTGAATACCAGTGGCAGAAAAAGTTTGGAAGGACAACAAAGCTGCATCTGCGACAGTTTTTAACAGAAGTATGCTCAGGTTGCATCCAAAAAAGTTCACCTACTCTTGGCTTCTCAACACTGTCAGCTCACAGGAAGTGGCTGTATAAACTAAGGGTCATACTTGATGCAAACAGAACCTAACATTTATCTCACAGCCCTAATATTAGGAGACAGGATATCAGCCAAACCAGCCATACTTCACATTTCTTGACCATCTCTTTACAGGGGTTAGTGTCGCAAGGCCTGAAGTGCAGAAAACAAGCCTGTAGGAAGACTTGGCATGGCTATGCAGTTTGGCCGTGTGATTGCCCCAAGGAAGTGGTTGCTACAAAGCCTTAGTGCAAGGACAGGCAATTGGTGGCCCTCCAGATGTTTTGGCCTACAACTCCTATTTGTCCCAGTCAGCATAGCCAGAGCTGAGAAATTATGGGAGCTCCCAACCAAAGCATTTGCAGGGCCACAGGCTGCCCACCCCTTCGTTAGCACAAGGTGCAGTTCCCCAAACACGTTGGGTACCTTGGGTGCGGGATTTTCCTGGATTAATGCTGGAGACAGACTTTACTCTTGTCCTCAGAAGGATGCGTCTGTGTAAATAGCGAGCCAAGGTCTCCTCTGCAACTGCAAGGCAGCCCAGTTAAGATTCCTCCTGGGCATCCTGCCCACTCCTTTGTCCCATCAGTGAGGGCTTAAGGATGGGACAGGGCTTTCCAGGAGAAGGGTGATGTGTCTGGGATGCTTCCACACCTTCAGTCTGTAAAGCACGGCTGCATTAGACAACTCCTGTGTGTCCTCACCCACCTCCTTCCTCTTGGGAATATGTCAGTCTGAGTACTGGTACTGGGGGAGGAAGGATCAGTGCTGCATCATACCCTCTGAAACTGGAATGCCTTTGGCTAGCAGTCGGAAGGTCAGGAGGGAGCCAGCCGAGGTAGCTTCCTGTAGAGGAAGCCCCTGTTGGGAGTGCAAAAGGGGGCTGCTTTGGGTGTACATTCTCAAGGGCTGCTGGCTGACCTCCAGGAGAATCAGAAGGAGAAGGGGGAGAGGAGCAGGAGCAGGAGCAGGAGAGGGCCTGGGAATGAGGGCCAGGCAGAGGCACTGAGATGAAAGCAGCAGAGTGGCTCATCGCAAGGCCAAACTCCCCAGGTGGGCAGAGAGCCTCTGGGAATAACCAAGATGCACAGCTGGCAGTAGGGGCCTCGGAGCAGGGGAACTTCTCAGACTCAGACGAGCGGTCCCAACTCTTGACCCCATGGCACAGTGTCAGCAGAGGAGGGCAGCCCAATTAGAGAATCGGCATGCAAAGAGGAGGCATACTTGTTTTCAGAAGGCCCCTCGGAAAGGGATGGGGCCCAGGCATGCGCACATGCTCCTAAGAAGAGTTGCTAGAGGTGAATGCTAGACTGGGTTCAACAAACCGCTCTGTGCATGCTCAGAGATTCATTCTGTGGTCTGTGTCCCCCCTTTTGGTCAATAAAGAACACGTTGCAAGGAAAAAGGCTGTGGCTTTGAATGCACAAAGGAGGAACCTCAGCACTTAACAGCTCCAAAGCCCAGGCGTGACTACAGAAAAAAATCCTCGTTGTAGCAGCAATTATCTGGGCCTTGCACAGTTCATAATGATAATGCTTCCAAGGTTTTCCCAGGAGCTTTGGTCAGATGCAGTGCAGGGCAATCCTGCACCGTCGTGTTTTCACGCGGTCATTCAAGATGACGGCACTACCAATATGCTAGTGCAGAGAGTGGAGGTCCGTGCTGCACAGGATTCCCCCTCCCTGGAAGGCACGCAGGAAGAGGTGGGTCCCACACAGACACCGTGGTTTAATTTTTCCAAGGCACATTTCTGCCCTTGTGTCACATTAGTGAAAACTGGCACACAGTGTGGAAATTGGTGGCACAACTGTGTTATGAAATTGTGTATTATATCCCCATCAGTCATGGGATGGGATACATGTATGAAATGAAAAGAGATATCTGTTGCAAAGGTATCTAAAAATTGTGCAATCAATCCCCCTTTTAATTCTGTGCTCTGTAGAGGCTATTCAAATTAAGCATATTTGTGTGACAGTTCTATTTTTGTACAACATGCTTTTCCATTTGTTCTGTTTTGCATATTTTTACAAAATTTTCTGCCAGCCACAAGAAAAGGAAAAGAGTGGTATCTGCTGCTGCAGACCATCCCATGGCCAGGAGTAATTTCTTTCAATCACATCTGTAATTCAGTGTGCATTTTCCACACCCTTTCAAGCATATCTGCAGAGCCCCATAAGGGCAGGAAATTTCCCTGTTGTTGTTGTTGTTTTAATTAAAGGCACAATTGTTAGGAACCTGAGCAGATTCTTATTTTATCTAAATTTCTATTGTCAGTCCTAAGGGAGGGCACATTAAATCCTTTGCTAGTTTTAATAGGGACAATTTCTTGGAAGCCAAAGGAGTAGCTTCTCTAGAAGGGGCCTTGGCAGGAGAAGATTAAAGAGTCCTCATGTTACTGGGTGGCAAACTGGTCTTTTCAGTGTTTTTCCAAGAAGGAAAAAGAAACAGCTGTGCTTACTCATGCATAGAAGAAGGATTTGGAAAGAAAGAGGGCAATACTTTCAGATCAGGCTTTTATCCTGCAATCATCTTGCCTCATTCGTGGAATTTTCCAGGGGGTCCAGACAGTGGTATCCTCCACCAATAACCCTTCTGTGTTTTCCCACCACTTCAGCATCTTTATTTTCAAAAAATATCAAGTAGGGAGAAAAAGATGCAATAGCAGAATAGTTTTTAAAAGGAGCCTTTTGTCTGGAAACAACCACAGAGAAAGAATGGTCTTTGGGCACATTACCTGTGTACTCCTCCTCATCTTCCAGCACCTCCATCTGATTTTGGAAGAAAGCAACTTTTGAGAGTTCCATGTTAGATGATGGCATTTCGAGCATTCTTGTCCTGGAGTGATGGGTGCTGAAATTGGAGTATGGGGGTTCAGCTGTTCCATATAAAATGAGACTCCATTCTTTTAACTTCCCTATAAAGGTTTAAGAAAGAATTAGGACTGTTAACAAATAATAATGGTAGTTGAGCAGTCATGGGCCTTAATGGATTAATCTGTTGATTCAAATTAAGTAAGTGTGCAAGTTACCAAAACGGACTTCTGTGATACTTAAGGAAGCAACTTAATGGGTTGCAGGGGGCAGGGGACAGAAACTGCAATTCCTTGCTAGCCTTTACTTCAACCTTAAGTTCTTATCTATGTGTGTCTATAAATAAACAGAAGAGTTCTGAGGTGGTAGAATTGATTGTGCCACTTTGATTAGGGATGGACAGGTTTTCAATCCCAATTTTGCTGAGAGTGTTAGTTTTTTGAGGTCAAGTTGTTCCAGCAGTTTTCTAGAACAGCTTATGGGATTTTTTTAAATTTTAAAAAATCAGAAATCCAAACTTTTTGTTTGAACTTGTTTGAATTTGTTTCATAAGATGATCATTTTAAATGTATTTTCCTGCAGTATTCCACATTGCTGAAGTGCTGTCTTGTGCATATGTTTTCCTAATATCCACATTTTTATGCACATTTCTCCGGAAACAAGCTGCAGTGGAAAGCTTCCCAAAGGGCAAGTTTCAGAATGCAACTCAGTGATGCTCTAAAACGCCACTTACTCAAGTATCCAATGCACTTTGTTCAAATCAGAATTACTTAATCCCGCTTATTCCCAGGAGAGAGTTTAAGGTCTGCTGGCAGGCACAGTGCCTTGGCATTTTACTCCAAGATTCTTTCCTCAGGAATAATTTTTAAAAGGCCCTCTTGGTTGTACATCAACCTGATGAAAAGTTTTAAGAAAGCATAATGGGTACTCTTCCAATAAAATGTAGTTTAGGATTGGGGTTGGTTTTGAGGGTTTGAAAAATATATCAAGGAGCTTCAGAATTAATCCACCAGAGTCCAGAACAAATTTGCTGTAAAGAGTTCCAGGAAGGGCATGAGGAGGAATCTGTTTGCAGAGATTTAAAGCAATTTTCTTTGGTGAATATATGTTGGGAGGCAGTCAGAAACACACACACACACACACACTCAGAATGCAATGTCATCTGCTGAAATGGTCCTCCGCTACAAACAACCTGCTAACAAGCATTCAAAAGCAATGACCAGAGATACCTAAATCAGCACCAACACCAAGAATATGGGCGCCAAATGGCCGTGGTGCTGATTAAGAGGCCCCCTTTTTCTCCTAGAAGCAAGCATGTAGTCCTCATGTTCCGCAAAGTAACAGTGGGACATCCACATACACACTTGCAGTGACCCAGTATTTGGAGCCTTGCATAGCTCTTGCTGTCATGACTCCCTGCCACAGATCCCTACTGCCGTACCATCTCTCTCTGCCTGCTCCCCCAGCGTTCCTCCAGAGGGAATCATGTTCCCGATGCACAAAATATAAATATCAGAGCTGCAACTAAAGCATGCACATTCAGAATGTCTAAACAGCTGAAATATGCATGCATTGTACTAGTTTACAACACAGTTATGGATTGCAGAACTTTAATGTTTTCAGTGCAAGATTTATTTCTACTGTAAAGCAATAAAAGAAGCCTATTAATCCCATGCTATAGATCCCCAGCATGTTGTCATGCACAGGGTGTGGACTATAAATCTGTATACATTTAAAAGCCACAGGGAGTCTCTGTCCAGCTTTCCCACTTGTTCAAATTTGCTATCCCTCCTTGGAGCCCCACATCAGCCACTGCAGTGGTTGCCACTTATTTGTATTTCCAATTACCTGAATGTTCTCAGTCCTTCAGCAAAGCTAGGCTGCAACTGGATGGTAACTGGGAGGGCCTCATGGAAAGGCATGAGCAAAGTTCAACGTCTGGGCCAAGTTTGCCCACTTGCTCCACTGTCAAATGCTTGGAGGAGCAGAAGTGCAGCAAGAGAGACTCTAACTCCAGCATTTGCCCTGCTGGAAAGGTGCACACCCCTACTGCCAGCAGTCCAGCATTTAACGTTATCTTGACACCTCTTAATGGCACGTGTGTCAGAGGGATTGATGCTCTTTTGCCTCCTGCTCCAACTGAATGAGTTTTGAAGAGCCCAAGGTCTTCTTGTATTAACATGGGGGAAAACTTTCTGAACACCATACGTGACTCTGATGGGGAAAGAGTGGGGGAGGCAGGTAGGCAAGAGGTCTGAAAACTAGGAGAGGGGGTGGTGGGGAGGAAAACTCATTAGGAAAGAAGAGGCCTACATCCCAAGGGCATCCATGTTGCCACTCTAGAGAACTACAGAATTTAGTAAGAGGTGCAGTGGGGAGAAGAGGACCATGCAATCTGTGCCTCAAATGGTGTGACTGGTATATTTAAAAAAGGCAAATTCAAAAGCTTGTCCACCATAGCTCGGTACAGGGAAAGCTTTCAATTTATTTGTTGATTTTCCAAATCATGCAGCCAAAGACAGGAGAGGAGGGAGTTCCTAGAGTGACCACCCGTCTCAGCTGCTGGAATCTCATCCTTGGAAAACAGGGAAAAGGAAAAACAGTTGCAAAAGTAACCCCTGTGAAATACTGGTGCAGCCCAAAGGGGTGAGACTAAGAAATTTGAATCAAAAAGAACAGGGAAGGTGAAGAGGCAGAAACTGGTGTTGCCACAAAGGCCCTGGATGACTTGGGGTAGGAATAATTCCTTCCTGCTTGTGTTGGGTGGGGGGTGAATCCACATAATGAATTCATGTACATGCAACTGAATTGGCATTTTCCAGAGTTTTGAAGATTCTGTGCACGCAGCTGATGCTTGTGTTCAGACCAGTGGAAGAGGACATTTTGAATTCTTTCATTTGAGTTGGATTCAAAAGGACACTTGAACTCTGTGGATTTACAGCCAGTTGTTTGTTTGTTTTTTAACTGGGGCTGTTGCCAGGGACCTGGGTGCAGGGGTTGTAGTATTCTGTTGTTGTTATAATTATTCATGCTGTTTTGTTATAAAATTGTTGAGAAGAAGAGGTTTGTTCTGTATGTACGGTTGTGTTGCGGTATTCATTAGGAAGCAAACAGCCCCCTGGAACTTACCAGTGTTACACAAACACGTTTCTTCCCACCTCCACCACCCATGCTGCTCAGCCACCACTGCATTCATTCTCTGAGCCCAGTTCAGCTCTGGGACAGCAGCCGATAATCCTGGATGGGAATCCACACTTTGCCTGCATGGAAAGATGCACCCAGCCGGCTCTGTGCAGCCAGGATGAGCACCTCCACTCATACATAAAGCGCACTTGCTTCTGCAGGGGTTCTGCGGGGGAATAAATACCACAACTGCGTATGGGTCCCTCTTGCTGGGGCAGGGCATCCGAGTGGTATCGAAATTCCACAGGATTCATTTATGGAGTTCCCATTGAATTCAAGGCAAGCACAGTAGAAAAGGGGCCAGAAAGGGAAGGAATGACAATTAAGCACTCAGAAAGCAGTTTTTGGCATGTCACAGTGGCTGCTGCAGCTGGAAGCAAGCAGCAGAAATCTCCATGTAAGTTTTAAAGTTGTAGCTCCCGCTGCTTAAGACACTTCACAAGCCACTTACGGGGACTTACCTTGCATGTCTGGGTTTCGGACATGGTATGGCTTATCCTGGATCTCCAGTATCCATTCTCCAGCTGCCCTTTCTCCCCAGCAGTGGACAGTCATGAATTCCCAGTGTTTAAACCCTTCGCTCGAATCATCATGCTGCCTGTTAATGGGATGGCAACATGAAGAGGTCACAGCAAGGCAGCAGGTTCAATCGCGGAGTTGGTGGAAGCCTTGCAGGCTTCCCAGCCCTCCTCCTGCTCAATGCAGAAAATCCGGGGTGAGTGACGGCCACCAACCCGGGTAACTGGTTCCATTCTTGAGCTCCTCTTTCCACCCACAAATTTCTCCTGCTGGCCCAGCAAAATCTGTGCTGCTGTAACGGAAGCCCATTCAGATCTAGGGGCCAATCCTGTTTAATCTTTTCATTAACAACATGGAAGAAGGGGTGAACAGTCTGCTGATCATATTCGCGGACGACACTAAACCTGGAGCAGCGGCCACTACTGAGGAGCAGGTACTCCAGATCCAAAAAGATCTGGACAGACTATGGAAGTGGGCAGGAGACAACAGGATGGCGTTCAATGTGAATGAGTGCAAGGTTTTGCACTTGGGGCATAGGAATAGCTGTCATAAGTACAGGTTAGGTGACAAGTGGCTGGAGAGCAGCACTTGTGAAAGGGACCTCGGGGTACTGGTTGACCACAGGCTAAACATGAGTCAGCAGTGTGATGTGGTGGTCAAGATGGTGAACACCACCCTTGGTTGCATAGCCAGAAGTGTGGCTTCTAGATCAAGAGAGGTGTTACTACCACTCTACACGACTCTGGTGCGCCTGCAACTGGAGTATCGTGCTCAGTTTTGGGCCCCTCATTACAGAAAGGATATAGCCAGGTTAGAGTCAGTGCAGCGTAGGGCCACAAGGTTGGTGGCCGGTTTGCAGGGGATGCCGTATGAGGCGAGACTGAGGGAACTGGGTCTCTTCAGCCTGGAGAAGAGGAGACTCAGAGGGGATATGTTGGCGACATACAGGTATGTGAGGGGGTGTCACACGGAGATGGGTAGAGACCTGTTCTCCCCTGCAGAGGAAGGCACGATGCGCTGCAACAGAGCAAATTTGGCTCAGGGAGCCAAGGTTCCATTTAGATGCCAGGAAGCACTTCCTGACAGTCAGGACCCCAAGGGTGTGGAATGGGCTTCCACGAGAGGTGGTTGAGGCCCCATCGGTGTGGGTGTTCAAGGATAGGCTGGACGTCCACATGGTGGGCATGTCGTGAGCGGAGCCGGCTGGTGCCGGAGGTCAGACTAGATGGCCCAGGAGGTTCCTTCTGACTCGCTCTGTTTCTATGTCTTGTGGGGCGACAGAGAACAAGCCTTGGCCCCCTTCCTATGGCACAGCCTTTCAGTGCTAGCCCGTGTCCTTTCAGCCTTCTCTTAGCCAAGCTAAAGAGTCTCAGTCCCTCACAGAACTCATTTCCCACAGGCCTGTTGTACAGCAAGTGCACCGTGATGCACTGCGACAGGCAACTCTGAATCCTAAACCCAGTCGTTCCCAGAAATCTCTTACCCTGCGGTCGCAGCATTCTACGTATCAGCAGTGACTGAAAAACTCAACAGTACTGCTAGGCCAGAGAATGACCACTTCTGAAAAGGGCCTGCAATTGCTAAAGGACAAAGAAACTCGTGCATTTAGCTTCTGACTATGCTATGCAAAGAGCCCATACACCACTCCCTGACAGGAGCACACTTCTCTGGCACTTGTGGGTCAATAATAAGAACAGCAATACGCACACATAAACAACAAGATGAAATGCAATGACACAATGCATATCAAATAAGCAAACCTCAGGACTGCCTGCCAGATATTAAATTTTCAACTCTGCATATGAGGAAAAAGTTCCATAGCAATGCATATGGCATCCAATTATTGATATATAAACACCAGCCTTCAAAGTAGTTAAACACGGAGAGTCCCTTTAATCTTTTAGAGCTTGTAAGTGTAGTTTAAAAAGCTGCATCAGTCTTTCAGGGAGACAGGGGAAAATGCTAACAGTAGAAAAAGTGGATAGATCAAACCTCAACCAGCTTGTAACAGGCCAGACTGGCAGAGCTCAGGTGCTGCCCGAGAAGCCCAGTACCGGGGGGTGTCCAGCCTGCCAACGCCGCCCTCTGGCCTCTCTGTTTTCCGAACAGGCGTGGGCAATGTGCAGCCTGTGAGCCACATGCAGCCCCCTGGCTTTGTTGCGGGGGTGCTGCTGCCACTCAGTGTGTTGCTGCTTGCTGTGGTGGCAGCAGAACAAAAAAAGGAAACAAAGCCTTGCTTGGAAGCAGAATCATGCACCCCCTATCCCTGGGGGCATGATCCTGCTTGCAACGGAAGTGCACGCCCCTCCACAGTTGGAATGTGTGCTGCTGTTGGCATCACCAGACCCAATTCAGCTACGGGCAGTTCTGGCAGTGCCACCCCCTCCCTGCTGAAGAGGGTTAAAGTCACTGCTGGTGTCCCATGTTCTGAGTCCAGATTCTGGCCCCAGGACAGCCCTATCATGCTCTGAGAAGCTGCATCGATGGGAGCCAAGATTTACTGAAGCAATTCCAGCTCCCACTGGATTTCAAGCAAAATGCTCTTCTTCAGGGAACACCACAGACAGAAAATCAATGAGAGCCAAACCAAGCTGATCGATGCACATGCTTCATCTCTGACTGTTCAGGCTATCTTTGTACACGCACAGGAGTGACTCAAAATGGGGCTTCTAGCATTTGCTATCATATTCATGTCTTAGTCTCATAACCTGCCATGACCTTAGTAAGCCTTTCCTCGTATTCCAGTCCTGAACCAAGGAACGGGTGCAAACAAGCTTCCATTTCCAGATACACATGCATTGCTAGAAGTCTGAAAAAGCTGCAAACCCAACATGTTTTCATGCCCGGTCTTACTGGGTATTAAGCACAGGCAATTCGTAGTGCAAATTTCATCTCATCTGCAAACGCAAGGATTCATGGCTATCAAAATTGGGAGGCAAAACATTTTGGGAAAGGGGAGGAAAACGGAGGACATTCACTCCAGCTCTAATGCGCACGTGTACACTCCCAGCTGTGCGCAACTGCTTTTTGCAAACATACCGCCCACAATGTTTAACTCTGCCGTATAGCAGCTCGTATCAAGAAGGTACTCGCTGCCTGTTTGGATTAGCAGATTCAGACTTGGCAGTCTGAGCACTGACAGCATCTTTAAAAAAGAAAATCCAAAAGAACAATAAAGACCTCCTGTTCGTGTTCATGGTGAGTGAAGTCACAGCTGGAAAAACGCTATGCAATTCCCTATAACATATTATTTTCCACTGGATCGCTCATGTCCAAATCACAAGGCAGGAATTCGAGGAAAGCAAGAAGAAAATAGCCTGTTTATGTGGTTGAAAACAGGAATCACAAAATGTACTGCAGCCGTTTGCCGAGCGTCATTGGATTTCCGTGGTGAGCGATAACCACACTATGTAATGTGGATATAATGTGTAACCAGGGCCTCGTTACACTGCCCTTATGTGGGAAGAGAAGAGGAGTGAGAGCCAGCAGAGAACTGCAAATACGCCCTGCCCTGAATTTCATTCCCTGCAGCCTCAGACTCTTGTACTCCAGGAGCCATGAGGACTCCCATCTTGGTTTCCAGTCTCCTTACAGCTGCCTGCTTCTGCCTTACCCATCTCCCTGTGGGCACGTGACTCCCTGCAGACTCCCTATTGCCATGGTTCCTACCACTGCTCACAAGGACTATGAATTTGAGGCATGCTGCCGCCTGGCCCAATGAGACAAGTGCAGAATCATCATCCGGGGGACTTAGCAGGAAGGATCCCACAGCTTCTCCTGCAGAGGCCCATGCCCTCTCAAGAAGATCCATGTGATGGCAAACTACCCTTCACCAAGCCCTCGGCAGGTGCTATACTGTCAGGTGGCTGTGGCACGACATCTGTCTGGACCTTCCACTCACCACTTCAGCTGGGGACCAGGCTTCCTAGCCTGCGGGGGGGGGGGGGGATGACTCCCAAGAGAGAAGCGTGCGAGGTCCCCTTGCTTCTATGGCAAGACTGAAAGGGACTCCACTGCTTAGTCCACCCTGTTGCCTTCCCCCATGGTGGGAAAGAGGCGAGGAGGGCCATGCAGAAAGAGACTCAGCCACATGCAGGGGAAACAGAGGACTCTGGGCACTGCCGCCTCTTTCTCCCATCACTGTTTCCAAAGGGAGACTGGAAAACAGCAGGAGAATCCTCACAAACATCTCCAATCGTAGACAGCAGTGGCAGGGGCTGCCCTCCCAGAGGATTCCTCCAGGGGGTGGGTCTTGCCACCAGGAGGAGTCCAAGAAGCTGTGCAGGCCAGATTAGTCTGGGGTTTCTGCCCCTTTGGCTTAGTCCTTAATGGCCTTAAGCTCGTAGGAATTAACATGCCTTGCTACAAGATAGTTTATATCATACAAACATAGGAGGCTGGGCTTCTTTCTCTTCTCTTTTCCACATTTGGATCTCTCTATTTCCATGAAGACTTCTCCATGCTGAAAAAACCTCCATGGAAGTGAGCTTCCAAGTTCCTCTGACATTCCTCTGAGCCTCAGAGATCTCATGGGCCCCAGGCTGACCAGAGGCTCGCTCTGAGCCCAACTGAAAGCAGAGATGGTTCTTCCTGGATGGCCAGCATCCCTGTGTGAGCCCAGCAGAGCTTGAGTCTGTGGTGGTCTGTCCTCTAGCAAGATTTCAACAGCAGGATAAAGAACTGGCCATCTCATCAGAGCGAGTCCCAATAAGACTTGTTCAGCCCCCTTGCCATAGCCTTTGGTGGCTGCAAATGTTCCAGAGCACAACTGCATGATGGCAGAGAGATTCAGTGGAGCTCACCTCCTGACCAAGAGCTGGGACTTTGTTCCTGAAGGAGAAGTCAGGTTTATCTGAAGGTCTCCCCGTCGAGGGTGTGCGATAGACACTCGGACGACAACGTGCTCCAGGTAGGCTACGTGATGATTGGGGTGGTCCACACAGGCACTAGTTACAGTCGCTGTCCGCAGAGTCTTGTTGGTGGGGATGAACCTAAAGGATTAGAAATAAAGGAGAACCTACAGAAAGCTGGAGGTGAAAATCCTTGTGGGATGGGCTCCCCCTCAGACAAAGTGCCTTGAATGAGAGTTTTGAGTGGTTAACTAAACTTTTTGAGCCAGAGCCTTCCCTGGAAGCAAAAATGGCAGAACTGAGGCTGTGATACTTTGAGCACATCATGAGAAGGCAAGACTCCCTGGAGAAGACCATCATGCTAGGGAAAGTAGAAGGCAGAAGAACAACAGGAAGGCTAATTATGAGATGGAAGGATTCCATAAAGAAAGCCACAGCCCTGAATTTAGAAGAGCTAGCAGGGCTATCTTGGGCAGGATGTTTTGGAGGGCTTCCAGAGGGTCACTGTAAGTTACTGATAACTTGACGGCACATCACAACAACAACTAAATTTCACCAGGTCCAGCTTCAAGAACAGTTTGTATTGCTAACTGGAATTGTTAAGATTGCTGATTTATTTATACTTAGGAAGTACACAGCAGTGATGCTGCCAAGCAAGTTTAGCCCCAGACTCAATGTTCTTAGAAAAGCCCTCCTTCAGATGGTCAAGTTGCAGGATAAAGTTATGAACCCCCATGCTGCTATCCCATGTTTTACAACTGTTTCTGATTAAAACAATACTCATAGTAATATTAATACTAATACTATGAGTAAGTGCGATTACATATTTTGAACTTGTTTAAAGCAAAGCACTACTGAGATAAAATGATGTTTGCTTCCACTGCTCTCAGGCGAAACACAATTATTCAGGAATTGCATCTATCCTTCTTTTAGAAAAGTTTAATATATATTAACAATAGAGGTGCTGAGCCTTGGACTGGGCTGGGACCAGCTCTGGGCCTCCAGAGAACCCAATCAAGCCCTCTGGGGCTCCTTGGAAGGCCCCACCTCTCCCTGGGGACCACTTCCTTCTCCCCAACTACCAGTCATTTGTTGGTCTCCCAGTCCCCACTTTCTAAAAACATTTTGTGCAGTCCCTCAGCACCTTTCTAAAAGCTCAGAATGTTTCTCCAAAGGCTTAATTAGGAGTTTCAAGTCACAATATGCTGGTACAGAAATGTGAAATGCGAACCCTTTCCGGTTGTTCGTCCCCAGCCCTTTTGCCTTTGGCTTCCCCCAGCACTGACACATGGGCCTTGAGAGCGACTCCAAAATGAAATCTGGAAGAGGTACCCACCTGATTTAAAGCCAAATTAAATCAGTCACACTGCATATATGTTGGCTCAACTATTTAAAATGAAGAAAATGCTATTCCAGGGAGTGGAGCCAATGCCCGGCCTGTTTGTCACTGTCTCCATCACTCTCTGGGTGGTGACTGGGCCCTGGGGGCCCTGGGCTTGGCCCTGCAGTCTAGTGCTTGCTACACCGCTGGGTGGCCAGGCCTGGACCAGCTTTGCCATTTGGGCCAGGAGTGGACAAAGGCCTGTCCCCAGAGCTGCTTTTTGGACTCCTTTGCTGTGAAATGAAAAGGCCCACCGCAGCAGATGCAATATCCCCCGTGAGGAGGGCAGCCGGTCTCTACAGCACTCTTGGCTCTCCTGCAGAGAAGACGTCATACTTTCCAAGACCATTGTCTTCCCCTGCAGGCACCACCCACTGCTAACAAGCCGACTCCCAGCAGAGGGTCCAGCACTTGTTGCCGACGCCTAATTTACTGGGAGGGAAACGCACGTCGATCCCAGACTTGTTCTGAGGACGCTACAAGCACATGTGGCAGAGGACCCTCATGAGGATTCTGCCGTCTGTCTTTTATTTGCCTTACTCATAAAGGAAGAAACGATGAAAGCCATAAACAGTGATGTCATTTCCCGGGATGGCGCTTTGTTTTCTAATTTTTACAAGGAGACCACAAAATATTATTTGCATGCAATGCAAACAGACTTCAGGATGCAGGGCTGCCCCACATCCTCCTCCTCGAGGTGGGAGTCAGCCCTAGCCTCCTGATCCAGCAAATGGGCGCGCTACATAAGGCTGAGGAAGCCGCATTTGCAACCAGTTCCTGGCCTCTTGTGCGGACATGCTTCCTGCTGAAATGAGGGGGCTTCCACCCAGCCTGGAACCCCATAGCTGCACTGAAACACAACGCTCTTGCCTGTGTGGACTCCCCCACTGAAACATTGGTGGGCTCAGCTATGAACATAAAAGCAAATATTCCCAGGGAGCAAATATGCTTTGCTGAAAGGAGTGAGGATTTCTCTGTGTACAGATCAGAGCTTCTATGCCCACCATGGCATATAACAACTTTTTAAAATGGATACGCACCAAGTGCAAACAAGTTTATGGGCTCTGTTCCCTTCACGAAGGTGCAGCAATGGCCTGGGGTTTCGAAAGAGGGGATCTGAATAAGCAGTGCCAGGCGCTCACTCACATGGGCCTCGCCTTACCAGTTTTCCTCTGTGCTTCAGTGCTGCTGCTGAAAAGAGCTGCAGTACTGCCCCTCTGGCCATCAGGTGATACCAAGGGATCAATAAGGACCTACCAACCCATATGAAGCCTCTCTCACTCTGACCTGGCTGTTCAGTCCGAGCCACGTCATCAGGCACAGGTTCACCTTGAATTAGCCCTTCCCTCTCTCCCACTCGCCTGCCCATCTACCTAACGTTATATATAGTAGTCTATTTGCCTCCAGACTGCTCTCCCTCCCTCTCTATCACTCGCTCTCTCTCTCACTTGTTCACACTCTCTCCATTATTTGTTATTCTCTTGGACATCTCTTCACCAGTTTTTCCTTGGCTCATTCTCATTCCAGAATGCCAGTAATAAATCTCCAGCGTGACCTGCAGACCATCCGGCAATGGTGTTAATGAGCGTTGGAATCTTCCATTCCACAGCTGGTCACAGTGAGGATAACATAATTTCCAGTGAGGATAACCTAACTTCCAGCCATGGCTTCCCACTTCCAAAGCCAATTGCATATTTTCCCCAGCAGAGTAGGATGGTTGAGAAGTCATAAGCTAGGCTTTATCTGAGCCGGGATGCCCTGATGCTTTAGGTCCAAGGTTGTACACCAGGCAAACAGCTCATAGAGCGGACATCACGTAGGATCTCCACTCTCACCAGAGTGGCCTCAGGTAACTTGGCTTGGCACTGCCTGTGTAGCCGCTTCTTCAGTCAGAAGACTAACTAGATTTGCTGTCTTGCAGTTAGATTTGGTGGAGATCCAGAGGAACAGTTTGCATGTCTGCATGGACACCTCATGCTTTTCATGGCTGTCTTTCCACAACAGCTGCGGGGAGCTGGATGGAAGGGAGGAACCCCTGCATTCGCCTTCTGACGTGGCAAGAACTGCTTCAGGGGACCTCCAGAGTCACAAGGGAGCATCCCGGTGGGTGGGGAGATGGGAAAGGCCAGAGTACCGAAAGTTCAGTGGCCGCTCCTGCCAGCAGGCCTCCTCTAGGTAGGCTCAGAAGCAGCCCAAAAAAGAGGATAGGGAAGCCAAAATCTCCTCCATCACTCCTCCTGCCCTGCAAGCAGCAGGCCACCAGGGCCCTGGAGACTGGGAAGCCTCCGGCATTTGGGGTTTCCTTCCAGTGGGCAGCAACTCGACAGGGGGAGTGCTCTTAGGTGCTCTATAAACAAAGGATTCTCTTTATTGAATGGGGTAATTCCTCCACCCCATTTTTCTTTTTCTCCAAAAAGCTCAGGGCAGTCTTCCTTCATTTTATGCTCGCAACCTTGTGAGGTAGCTTGGGCTCAGAGACACACAGACTGGTCCATGGTTGTTCACTGAACTTCAGAGCTCCCCAGTCCAACACTTTAATTTAGAAGTGGACAAAAGACAAGGCTGATCTACAAGAAAATCTCTGGGTGACTTGCAATAGATCAGCAAGGATTTCTGACACTGATTAGTTTAACGAGCAGCCACAAAATTATACTGATGAAATGAAGAAAGCTTTAAGCAACCAGCAGTGGACTTTAGCCTAAAAGGCCTGTGAGCACCATTCAGTACTGGCACTCAGAACAAATTACTGTGCTTGAAATTCATTAGTTTTGAGTGTACATTTTTTGCAGCCTGGCTCCATTTGAGGCATGCCTACTTTCTAAGAATGTAAGAAAAGCCCCGCTGGATCAGACCAAAGGTTTGTCTAGTCCAGCACTCCATACACACAGTGACAAATCAGCTGCCCACAGGATTCCTCCAGCAGGATGGGGGCAAGACCTCCTCCCACCCAGCTCCTCAGCAGCCGGTGCAACTAATGTTCTAGTAAACTATGTTCTGGCAACTTACGTTCTAGCAAAAACTAAGCCTCAAGTCTGCCCAGGAGTTCTAGGATGACTACACCACACTGGCTCTTTAGATCCGGCACATCTTATACACTTACACTTAAGCAACACCCACGCAAGAACACTGGTGCACAGAAACTGGGGCCCTGTTTGCCTAACTTCTAATGAGTCCTTTTGCTGTTGTTGCTGTTCTAAGCAAACCCTCCCCAGAACAGGCGGGATGGAGAGGGATGCTGCTTGCACAAGCAGGAACACAGATCAAGGCAAAGCTGAACCAACTTCCAGTCATTCTCAGAGTTCAAAAAAAGTTTATGCATTCAGTAATTAGAACCAGTTGTCAAGACAAAAGTTGCACTGGGCTGTCCCATCAGAAAACAAACTTCTAAAGAAAAAGAAACAATGAAAATGTCAAGTGAGGAGGAGGAGGAGGAGGAGAAATCATCTAGGAATATGTCTGTCTTTGTAGCCCTTCCAGGAATAAGCCCGCCGAAGTAAGCTCAGAGTTCCACGACTAGACGCTTGCAGATACTGTGCTTGGGCCAAGCTACACAAAGGAGCCTGCTAAACCCCAGTGAGGATGCTGTCGCTTTTCATCTGTTGCCAGGATTCTTCCATCTCACTGGACACAGCCATGCATTCTAAAATGCACTTAGCTTGCTTCTGACCCTTACCAGGTTTATTATTAACAAGACGGGCCTGCACCCTAGTCTTGCAGAAAGGTGAGATCCTACTCGGAGTTCTAGCCCCTCTGCTCCATTTCCCTTCCACGCAAGTTTTCCACGTTCCATCTGCATCCCCGGTGCAAACAGCCAAGCACCTTCTTTCCCCTCTGAGCATGTTCAGGCCTCACTGGATTGTTTTGATCAGCCATGGCCTTGATGTGGTCTTCTTTCTAAAGCTTGCCTGCGCTTTCACCAGTCTTAGAATTCTCCCAGGCCTGCTGATGCCTCCTTTTTGTGTGGGCATGTAGCATTTTGCCTGCATGAGGGCTAATGTGCCAAAAAGCAAATTCCCAGTCAATAGATGTGATGGGCCATGAGCCAAAAGGAGAAAAGGTGCTCTCTTCTTCTTTAAAAGTGATTATTGGTTATATTATATCCTTCAGTTGCAGGGGAGTCCTTGCCTTCCAGTTTCAGATGCTCCCGCAGTTCTGCCATTGCAAGAGGAACGAGGCCGCTAGCCCTGGGCATGCCTGTCAATGGACCTCCTCTTGCCTGCTATTTCTGCTCTGTTGCCCTGAGCCTAAAAGCAGAAAAGAAGCAGGCACATGGCAGTGGGAGAGACAGCTTGAGTGGGATGGAGAGAGAGAGAGAGAATGTTGTCCTTACTCTCTTGTCACCCATCTGGGAAGGTTAACCTAAACTGTCCACACAGCTGAGCAAGACAGCACATTTAGCCATTAGTGGTTGCACTGGAAAGTCTCCACACGTTCTCCACTTCCTGGCAAGGCGATCGCCCGCCTCGGCACTGAGCTCCACCTCAGTTGTCAAGCATCTGTTTTGCATGCAGGAGGTCCCAAGTTCCATCCCCGCAATGCCAGCTAGGGCTGGAAATACTCCTGCCAGAAACTTTGGACAGCTGCTACCAGCCCGAGTCAATACTGACAGACTATAGGGCAGATTTAATAGAAGGCAGCTTCTTGTGTTCCTTCCCAACAGTGCAGGAAACACAAGCTGCTAAATATCAGAATTGGACCAGGGTTAAGGAATCAAACCACAGGTAGCACCAACCCTGATTGTGCATTATGTTAGAACCAAGCCATGGAAGGCACATATACAAAGGAAAATGGCAGTTCTGAGTTCTCCCCTCTTCTTCGATGAGCACTACAGCACAGGCACTGCCAATTCCCCCACACAGTTGGGAGTGGGGGCAGAGTTGCCTGTCTGAAGGGGACCTGAACTAGCCCCTCTCATTTCCCAGAAGAAGCTGTCCATGGGGTCATCTGTAAAAAAAAGTGCAACACACTTTTTTGCTCTGCTGAAAAAGACAAGCTAACCTGCATTAACACTCACCAAGGTTTCTTATTAGAGGTTCCAACACAAACATGCTGGGCAGGGACCGTCCGCCACCTCTTCGCTTCGACAGCAAGAGCTTCTGCATCGACCAGCCCAAATCCGTACAAATGGCTAACTGAAAAGACAGGTGCCTCAGAGACTCACGAGTTTAGCAAAGAACTGGCATTGTTCACAGCCTATGAAGACAGGCTTTAAATCAGAAGCATGAAACTATTTTGCAGCTTTCCCAGACTCAAGCTCCTTTGGATCCCTTCTGATGTTGTGGTCTCCCCCTTATTTATTTTCTCTTATTGCCACCTCCACTCGCTTTTCTTCCTGTGTATCTTTCTACCCCACTTTTTGCAATATTCCTCTGCCCCCTCCCCACTTGTGGTCATGCCTGTTTGTGCAGTAAGTTAACAAAAAAGATTTCGTCATCAACACTACCACCAGCACATTGCATTGGTATCATGCCTTTTCTCCTCGTGTGGTGAACCCAAAGCAGCTTTCCTAGCTCCATTTTGTCCCCGCAAGCCCCAACCATGTGAAGTAGGTTAGGCTGGGAGTGAGTGCCTCGTCCAAAGCTGCCCCATGAGCTTCTTGGTCAAGTGGGGACCACAGCTCGGATCTCCCTGGTTCCCAGTCCAATGCCTTCACCACCACTCTGCACTGACTCGCAAATTGCATACAAATCAGTGTGTGAAAGACAAACACATGCCACTCCATCATTTGCTTTTCAACAGTCAAAATGCAAAAAATCCTTAATGCGGAACTGCCTCCATTGCCCTGAATTTCACATTGCACATGCTCACAGAAAGGCTTTGAAAAGCACCCTTCCTCTTTTTTGGCACACTTGTAGAATCGTCATCCCGACGAGCAGACTAGTTGCTGCTAAGTTGGCAAGGCAAGAGGCAGTTCTGTTCTCACCCTGTTGTCGGAGCAGAGCCAGGGTGTGTGTGTGTGTGTGTTTTCAGAGAGGTGTGATGGAGGGAAGACAGCTGCAATTCAGGCCCCAGCCACCTTAAAGGACCTCAGAGGTGGGAAACATCTTGACCTTGCAGACATTTTGCCATCCAAGTAGAGAATCCTGGACTAGAGAGTAAGTGTTGTGGCTCATATATGTTCATGATGCCACAGGAATCAGAACTAAAGCAAATCTGCAAAGCAAATAATTTCACAGGTGCAAAGCTGCCAGTGCACATTTCATAGTGAGTATTTTTGGAAAGTTTATAAAGTCTTTTTAGAATCCAAGTTCCTCAGTTTTCAATCATGGTAAATTTACACAAGAAAAGTTTCTGAAGTTCTAGTAGGGAAAAGAACTGTGATCATTGATTTAGCTGAAGTTTCAAATGCATCTGAAATGCCGTTGATTTAAACCAGAAGGTGCAACTGGGCTAATTTAAGCTCTGAACTAGTGAGCAGTTTGGTACATATATTGTACAATATATAGGTACCAAACAATATTTGTGTGTCTACTTACTGCACCAAACAAATACTATTATGTGGGGCACTGAAATAACGAAACAGGTGATATCCTACATAGTAACATGTCATTATGTCACAAAATGGGATTGGACCGTATCTTTAGTATAAAGTGCAAGCTAAGCCTTGCATGGTAATGTTACCTGTATTAAAGCAAAATCAACCAATATCTATCTTAAAAAACCCTGAGTGCTTTCAGTTGGACAGTAAAAATGCCCAGAAAAAAAAACTCTATTATCACTAAAACCTAGTATTTTCAAGTTTCTTCCTTTGACATATATATGGGGGGGGGGGCTTAAGTTTCTAAGGAAAAATCTAGAAGTGATAGCTTATTCTTTTTCAGAAACAGCCTGCTATGTTACTGTAAGGTTATTGAAGACAAACAGGCAGCAGAATTTAATTTTGATGATGAAGGTCTGTTCTGGACCTTGACAATATTTTGTCACATGAAGCAAAACATAACAGGGCTGAAATTTCTCAGAGCAAGCCAGCATTTCAATCCAGCTAAGTTAAGCCTTCTCGAAAATACCATTTTCTTTTACATCTTTTGCCACAGCTTAGATTTTCCCTGCTGAAGCAGATGGGAGGCTGTAAATACCCATTGATAAAAAGGGATTCTAAGAGGATTATCAGATCTTAGAACAGCCAATAATCACTTTCCTTGACTTGACTGCAGGGCAAATAATAGAAGGAGCCGTTTAAAATGAATACATGAGTTCTTCAGCTCAGCAATCTTTACCAGATATTGATCTGGACTTCTAATTTAATTCCACCAGTGCCATATCAGGAGATTCATTTCTAATAATAAGACACCTCCAGAGAATGATATGCATCTCTCACCTAGTGGTGAGATTTCCTTGTAAAAAGCAAGTGTTTACATTCAGGGGTCTGCTTCATTGGTTGAATGAGCCTGACTGATAGTGTGCAGAAAGATAATCGAGGACCTCTCGGCAGCTGTTGCTGGAGCACCATGATGCTACTGGCATCTCCTCCTAACCTCTTGCACCTACACCCTAGAAATGCAAGTGCAGAGAAGAAGAAAGCAAAGGGAGAAGACAAGCAAGCAGCTCAGGAGGGTGCTCTGCCTGCAACTGGAAGCTCCAAGCACAATTTCAGTTCTAATCCATGGCTTGAAGTGGTGTCAGGACTGAGCCAGTGTAATTAACTTCAGTCAGAAATGTCCAGCTTCTTTTTGAGATACATATACATACAGATATGAAGAGATGTAGGCACACAAGCACATGCACAGAGACAGAGCGCAAGAGTGAGGGTGAATGGTTGGATCTCTCTAGTTCAAGTTTGGGTCAGTTTCCAATGACTTCTGGTCCATATGATTTTCTGTGATTTTTTTTTCTTTTTTAAAAATGCAAGCATTTGCATTTAAATTGTACACTTTTTCACTAAAATGTAATATTTATACACATGTTGACTAAAGTATGCATTTATGTATACATTTTTAAAAAGCTGCATATGAAGAGCAACTGCATTCTGATCTGTGCATGAGTCAGTGAATTATGAATAAGTTAGTTTTGCTTAATAATGCAGATGGAACAAAATTCTCCAGCATCCCTAAGGCAGATATAGATACACACAGAATATATGGGCAATAGTTGATTAATTCTTTATTTATTTTTAAATTGATAGGCCACTGAATAACCCAACAGGGCTCTCTAAATGGCAAACAACAATAAAAATATAGACCAATATTACAACTCCTAGTTATGGGGGGGGGGGGAGACTGCTGGTAATAGAAAGCTCTTACAGACAACCAGTTGGTAAAATCAAGTCTCAAAATACCTACAAAAGAGAACAGTTTTTGCCTGGCAAAATGAACGTAGTGACAGCACCTGGTGGACCTCTCCAGGAGGCCCATTCCCAAGCTGGGGGGCAGCCACTGAAAAGGCCCTCCTTCTAATTGCCATCCCTTCTACTGCCTTTATCACTGGGCAGGTAGGTGTATATGGGAAAGGCACTCCCTCAAGTAACCAGGTCCCAAGTCATTTAGGGCTTTGTATGTTAAAAGCACTATAGTTGTTAAAAGTGCTTTAAATTGGTCCTGGGCTTCAACAGGCAATCAGTTCAATTTATATAGGTGTTATATGGGTTCACAAACTGATACTTGACACCAGATGCGCAGCCCTATCTTGGGCCAGTTGAAGTCTCTGGACCACCTTCAAAGGCAGCCCTATGTACAGCACATTACAGTGATCCAGTCAGGATGTTACCAGCACATGAGTAACCACGGCCAGGCTCTGGCTATCAAGATGAGGCCACACTCACTGCATTTGCCACAGCTGGGAAAAGGCACTCCTGGCCACCAAGTCCACTTGGGACTCCAAGGATAGTTTTGGGTCCAGCAGCACCCCCAAGCTGAGGACCCTGTTCTTTATGGGAAGTGCAACCCTATCTAATCAGTCAGGCAGATTGTCAACCAACAGAACTTCTGTCTTGTCTGGACTGAGTTTCGGCTTATTGGTCCTCATCCAGTCCATGAACAAACTCAGACATGGGTTCAACATGGAGACCAGTGTAAACGAGGAGAGCTGAGTGTTGCCAGCATATTGCTGACTCCTCAGCCCAAACCTCCGGATGACCTCTCCCAGTGATTTCATGTAGATGTTGAAAAGCATGGGGGACAGTACTGAGCCCTCCGGAACCCCATGACAGAGCAGCGATCTCCCAGCACTACCTTCTGGATAGCCAGGAAGGATTGGAACCAGTGCAAGGAGTGCCTCCAATTGGGCAACCTTTAAAAGGATGCCTGCAATGGCAGATGTGTGCATTATCTTAAACCAAAGAAAAATGCTTCTTGCCCCGGAATACTGTTTTTACCCATATGCAAATTTGAATTGTTAGATCAAATCATAAGAGTTTTAATTTATTCACATTTAACTGGACTGCAATCATAATTTTATTTATAGAAAGAGATAGAGAATAAATAAAAGGAATGGCTATCTGTTAATCTCCAGTTCCCATCTTCAACAATGAACAATACCACTAACAAGGCTTTACTGAAGATGCACAAAGCATTGTCTAAAGACTGATTAATAATTAGAGTATACCTTTTTAGCTCAGATGAGGATAAGAAAACAGATGCTTAAACTGTGAATTTTCAAGATAACTGAACATGGAACCAAATGTATCCATGGATTCCTATTAAATAGCAATCCAACAATTACAGTAAATCCAAAATCACCTCTTGTTGCGAGTCAAGGATTTCCTTGGGAAGATCTCCCAGACAAATACATATTCACATTGTCTCACCTCGACGTCCAGCTCCATTTGTTTTCCAGTCAGGGGCCAAGAGGTGCACTGGTCGAGAAGTTTTAACCAGTAGATGCTGTACATCTCGCCAGGTCAGCAAAGGGCTAAAGGCCATGGAAGGAAGGACAGAAAAAAATACACATATGATGCAGCAAGTCTTGGCTGTGTTGTTGGTAGGATTTTGAAAGAGGCCGGCCAAAGGGAGTCTAAGCAGCAGCGGCACTCACAGGATCTCCTTCTTGCCAGGGCTCGACTTCAGTTAATTGGTCTTCAGCCAGCCTACCACTGAATCTGAACTCTGAACAAGGACTTGCTCAGCATCTCCTTATTCAGTTGTCTTAGGGAGATGGAGTTGTGTGCCATCTGTCTCCCCAGATGACAATTCCCAGTAGCTTCATACAGATGTAAAACAAGACTGGGGACAGAATGGTACCCCTACCTCAATCGCCGGTGGTCTGAGGAATAATGACCCAATGTTATTCTCTGAAATGGACCCATAGGTAAAACCAGAACCACTGTGACACAATACCTAACTTACCAAGTTGATCTAGCAGGATATCTTGGTCAAGGGAATCAATGGAATCAAAAGCTGACAAGGGAACAAGGAGAGTTAACAAGGTCGCTTTCCCCTGTAAACAGTTCACTTTGACCTTTCCGGAGTGATGGCAAGAAGCATATTAGCCCCAGTCTAATTTGGAAACAATGCAGTTCCACACCATTGCATTTTCCTGCCTTACATTTGCCCCGCAGGCATTCCTTAAAGCATCTAGAGTGTCCATTTTATAATTCTATCAAAGTATTTAGCGATAGAAGATCTCAGCTAATTTTCTCTCTGGCAGTAAAACAAAACATTGGAGCACCAGCATTACTTAACATGCCTAGTCCTGGATATTTAATGGTGCATTTTATGGCAATGAGCTAAACCATTCCAAATTTACAGGCCTAACCTTCTCTAGTTGATTTGTAACGAACTTTCTTTAAACTGCATTCACACAACATGTGTTTTAAAATAGAGACAATCTATCTTCAAATGCAGAGGCAGGGTGGTGAGGGAAGACTGAAGTTGCCAAACTCTCCTCATGTTGGCAAGACATTTCCGCATCTTCAGTCACAATAAAGTAACAAATGAATTCTCTATGCCACTGTGAGCTCACAGCAGCCAACAATATATTAGCAAGAAGAGCCAATGACACAGCATGGGAGCATTAAAAGTAGTCAGCAGTCTGAGCTCTGGCTTCATTTTTCCCCTCCCATTCTAAAAATAAAATGAGCTGGGAAGTCAAAGACCAGCTTTACATCAAAGAAAGGAGGGAGATAATTTTTAGCAATGCCGTGGACCCTTATATGCCCTCCTCAGTGGAACAGCGAGGTTTTCGGGGTGCCACGGAAGCCTATCAGAAAGGAAATGATGGCAGCTAAACTTTTAGAAGGGCAACTGGGTATGTTCTATCTGGCCCCAGGTATCAGAGACAAGGCCTGGGCAGAGCATCAGCTAAAGCCTCTGATATGAGACTCTTACATTTTCATATGTGTTTTAAAGGGAGTAAGACACATTCAGGGAGGTTAAAGCTATCACTTGCTGCTGATTATGATGGTTCTACAGCATCTCCAGGATTCGGGGCACTCTGTCTCCAAGGATGGGGAAGAACTATGGGAGAGGACAATTGTCCCCATGCCCTGCTTGTGGGCCTCCATTGGGAACAAGCTCCTGGACTAGACAGGCCTTTGGTTCAATCCAGCAGGGGTTTTCTCTTGCTTCCAGCAAAGGAAAAAAGACTATTTCATTACGGCATATAAATTCCGATAGACTACAGTTTAGTTGCATATTAGATGGAAGCACTTCTGACTGGGTGGATTCAAATCTATGAAAACTTTCCCTACAAGCAAATCTGTTGGTCTTTAAGATATGGCAAAACTTCTTTCTTTCTCTACTTGCTAGCCTTCTGGAATTAGTCACTGGTGAAACCCTGTTTTGCTTTGCCCTTTTGAGTCTGCCTAAAATCATGTTATTATGCACACATGCATGCTAGGTTTCCTCCCCTGGGTGTCCAGGAGTTAGGATTTCTGGGTGATGCTGACAGGAGCATCCGGCCTCTAATGCAAATACACATAAAAGCACACACATGAACATGTTGTACCCGGTGTTATAACCAATGTGCCTTTTATAGCAGCATCCATAATGCCCTATTCAGATACTCAAAGCTGCTGAATGTGTTGGTGTTGCAGCTACTCCAAAAATCATTGAAATCAAACATTCTATTCAGGGTTCTTAGTCCAGCCAAAAAATGGTACTGTTCATTTTATTATTTCATTTAGCATTACATTTTCCTCTTGCATGAAACCCAGAGCAGCTTACAAGGCCCTTCCTTTCCACTTTGTGCTCACAGCAACCTTGTGAGGTTGGTCAGGCTGAGCATTGATTATAAGCCCATAGTCATCCAGTGAGCTGGATGACTGAGTGGGAACTAGAGCCTGCATCTGCCAGGCCCAGTCCAACATTCTCACCACTGCACTGCGGCAGTTCACACACTGGGTTGCGGTCAGTTTACTAACATCCCCATTTTCAAAGGCTGGCACATGACAAGATATTATGACATTAACTGTTCTGGAAGCGGTAAGCAGCAAAACATTAAAGGCTGGGGAGAAAGCAGCACTCAGACAATGATCCTCAGCATGAGAAAAACGGCATTAAGTGCACAGAAACGTCCCTGTTTTCATCTGTGATGAAAGTCTGCACCGTGTTCAGCTTTGTCTGTCTTCTCCTACATGATGGAGGCACTGAATTGAAGAAGCATATCCAAGCATGGCTCTGGGCACTAACCAAGCCAACCAGCCTCGATGGGGCTCAACACAAATGAGTGTGCCCCATAGAGTGTCTGCCTCCATTCCCCAAGAACCCAAAGCAATATATATTCTCAAAGCATCTGTGTTGAGCAGAAGAGAGTTCCACTGGCCTACTGCATCCCTTCTCCGGGTATTCCATCCCGCCCACCAGCGAGAAGTCCACATAGACCATGGCCTCTTGCTTAGCAATGAACAAATGAACATCCACGGAAGAAAATGCATCTTACTTGGCCTCCAGTGCCAGAGCAATGATCCCTGCCACCATGGGGGCCGAGACAGAGGTCCCGGTGTGGCCATCTGTGCAACGCTTCCGCAGATCTGTAGTAACCTAAGGAGAAAGTTTGTGCTGCCGTTAGCTTTCCAGAGGGCAGTGAGTGTAGCAAAGCTCAAGACTGGGTGGTGTAACTGGAGGTGAGTTAGGCTTTGGCAAAAAGAATCAAGGCCCCAGATAGGGTTTTTTTTCCTGTTTGGTGATGATGATGAACTGTCCCAAGATGTTTGCCAGTCAGTCAGTAGAGAAAGTTAACACATAAACATATAAGCATTATCCAGACTAAAGCACATCTGTATCTCTGTCAGTTTGCATAGTGAATTCTGTGCTACTGCCTATAATCAGGGGTGTGTGTGTGCATATGCACGCGCACACACACACTAAAAATAATATAACCAAATGATCTATTTTCTGAGCAAGAACTGTAGAAAGGAGAGGAAAAAAGAAAACCATGAAAGGCTGAGCAATGTTAGGTTAAGAGTCAACATGATTGCTATAAGGGCCAAAATATTGGCAACCCATCCATCAAAAGTGGTGCCCAGCCCAGTTCCACACACACAAACACACTCAGAATATCACTGTGAAAGTCCCTCCATCTAGTCAAGCTAAGGGCTGCCTGATTGTAGCCACAGAGCCATCAAGGTTTACTACCCATCCACCCGTGTATTGTTTTCCATTATGCTTTCATATGCATCTGGCTTCAAGCAAGGTGTTCTTGCCAGATTTGACTGAATGGCCACATTAGGGAGTCTAGAAGTTAAGCCCGTAACTTCACAGGCTGTCACTAGGAATTTACTCTTCAGACTTAGGAAAGAACAGAGATGTGTGGAATCAGGCTCCTTGCTTGGCTGACAAGACGCAGTCTCAGGGCTGGCCACACTCAGCCCAGAGATGGAGCTAGACCTTCTGCCACTCTCCCCTCAGCTTCATCGCAAGCGTTCGCTTCAGTTTCAGCGTCAGTTCTAGCTGTGCCTCTGGTGCAGCATCGTGGGGCCCCGGTTTTGAGCAATGTGTGGCCGCCCATGGCCCTGGCAGTGCAGTCAGGCTTGTAGCGGTGTTTACTTACAATCTGACGCTCGTAGAACGCCCCGCTGCTGTAGGTGGTGGCGAGGGTGGAGGCGCACTCTTCCAGGTACCATGGCTTGTTCCCGTTCTCGGTGGTGCTACTGACGGAGACTGTGTAGATGCTGTTGGTGTACCCGTCGCAGGAGCAGTGGTCCCCTTCTCTGCCACCATTGCCAGAGGCCCAGACAAAGATGGAGCCCCGTCCTCGGCGGCCCTGTGAGTGGTGGAGCAGGGCGATGAAGAGGGATACGAAAGAGGATGGGCGCCTGGACGGTGCCAATCTGCCCCCCCATGGCCCCAGTTCCCTAGGCAGTGGGGCTTCTGGGGCCAAACCTGCAGGGGTATGGGGTTACAGAGGGTTGCAGGGAAGGTGCTTCCGCAGCCTGGGCAGTGTGGCCAGCATCCCAGACCCCGCCAGTGGCCCACATCGCCCTTATTTCAGCCCTAGAATGGCACCTCACATCTCCAAACCTGGGGCTAGCAATATAGCGCTCAACAAGAGCCAGAGCAGGCCTTACAAAAGGGGTGAGCGTCTGTCTCCTTCCTCCAGGACAGGCAGACATTTGAACATTGTGGCAGGGACGGTGAGGAGTATGGGTGTGAGTAGCCTTTCCGCAACAGATTTATTGAGCCTAGAGGCACAGGTTAGGGTCTATGGGCTCCCAGCTCAGTGCTGTCTTCCATAGCACTAGATCCATTCCACAGAACCCTGGATTCCATTCCACAGGATCCATTCCACTGGGGCCTCTGGAAAGGTTTGCCTCTGCTTAATTGCCATGCAGAGGACTATTTTCAAGGGGGATCATGGCAGGAAAGGGAAGGGCTAAGCTTCCCTCTCTGTGCACTGCGCCTGCGCCCAGGCCCTCCCCTACATGGCAATGAAGCTGAGGAGAAGACCCGATGCCAACAGAAGGACTGGACTCCTGGGGCCTCACCTCCTGTTAACTGCAGAGCAGCCTTCACAGGCCAGAGGAGGCTGGTTTACAGCAGATGGGCAACTGAGAAACGCATAAGCATCCCCACATGCTGTGTGCTTCCTTCTCATCCATTACCTTAACGGTGCAAACTGCACACACAAGCATTGCTGCTGGCTGCAGACAGGACCTTCTTGCAGCCAGAAGAGGCCAAAGTTCCCATCAGGCTTTGCGTAACATAGTACCTCATGACCTTCCGTTAGTTCCCTGGATTAGAGCACTGTGGAAGAGGGTTGTCACCAACTGGACACCCTTGCTGTCTGATTGCAGCTCACCCTTGTCAAGCCGTCTACCAAGTCCTGTCTTTCCACAGGATCACCTCCCTGGCTGCAAATCTCTTCGAGCCTTCCTGACCCTGCCCTGCTCCTTCCTTTCCCTCCAGCACCCAACTCCTGGGCCTTGTATTCCTTCTTCCTCCCGTTTAGTAAGAGCTGCTGTTCCCACAGGTTCAGCGCATCCAGCTCGGCTGTCCTCCAACACATCCGATGACAGCTGGGTTTCCTCTGGAGTGTCTCTGCTGCTTTGCTGCCTCCACACCTTCTCCCTGCCCCACAACTGACTGAGAATCAGTTCCCACATCTTTGTGGGGCATGTCTGCAGTGGTGTTCAGCTCAGTCCCCACACCACACACTTCCATGCTCCAGATGCACGCCTCCCAAGCGGTATCTTCAGAAAAGGAACGGACCAGGTCTGACTCCTGTTATGAACTATTTCACACTTAGAGGGCCCCAGGTTTTGATGCAAACTTGATCAAACAAAACCAAACCCCACTCTGGAAGAAGAAAGGCAGCCCACGCAGTGCCTCGTTCCCCCACCTTTTTAATGCCTTGTTCAAATGCTTGCTTGGCCAAGGGGCCGGGCCCATCCACCGTTCGGCCGTCGTCATCTGGGCCCCAGCTTGCACTGTAGATGTGAATGTATTCTGGCCTGGTGCCTATTGCCTTTGCTTCCACGACATCTGTCACATCGCCATCCAACATACGGATGCCTAAAAGCAGCCCCCAAAATAAGTGTAAAATGAAATAAATTGGAGCATATGCTGTTGCGCTGAAAAGCTTGAGAATTGCAATCAAGGACTTTTGTTCCATGCATGGTGGAGGCCAAACAGACTTATTTCATCCTCAGTGAGTCAAAACAACCGCAACATCCCTAACGGGTCTGCGAGCTTGTTCTTTTCCTCCCTCCCCCCACCCCTCATGTTGCTGATTCAGTGATAAACAGGTTTTTAATCCTACAGAACGAGTGACATGGGCTCAAGATTGCCTTTTATCCAAACTGATTTCAGTACTAAGGAAGCCAGCTTCTGGATTACACAGGACTCTTCTTCAAGGCTTATCAAATGGCTTTTAGAACCTTTCCAGCTCATACATTCAAACCCTACACTTCACCTCTCCTTTCAGCTCTGAAGACCAGAGGCTCAGAGACAAGACAGAAAGCAGGCACAGACAAGCAGCCTTAAGAAAGACTTTCGTCTGGGCCTCGGGGTCATCTGGACAAACTCAGCAGAACCGCTCATGTGTCTCTGCCTCACATGCACACAGTGCATGCCACTCACACTGCCTGGGAAGTTTCCTCTTATGTTCCTAAATATTCTTAGTATTTTAATAGTTTAACTTTTTAACTTTGCATTTATATATTCCATTTTATTCTGTACTGCTGCTGTGCTAGATCATAGCAATTGTGATTGCTATTATGGCTTTACTCTTCTAAATTAATGTGCATGCACATCTTTTTAACGTTTGTTCAATTTTAACTTTTATTAACCACCCAGAGAGCCTCGCCTATTGGGCAGTATAAAAATGAAACAAATAAACAAAGAAATAAAATAAGTGTGTGGGGAATTTTTCCTGCAGCTGTGAAGAATAATAAGTGGATGGGGAAATAACTGATGCTGGGGCATTAACAATGAAGTCACTGTCCACTCCCTCCCACCAAGGGCTTTGCCAGTCCCCAGTGGACAGACAGAACAGGGATGTACACTGTCCAGAGAGCTTCACCCAGGGGAGGTATAGAAAAGAAATTGTTCTGCTGCTGTTGCTCTTAATAATAATAGTAATAAATACTCTCCTTCGGTTCCCGGTTCCCAGGGGTCTCCCACTGCAGAAATGCAGTGACGAGGCTGCAAGCAAAGGAGATGAGGCCAAGAAAATTTCACCAACTTATTTTAGCTTAAAGATCTTATAGAGTATAACAATGCTTTAGGAGAGGTATTTCAGCTTTCAGAATGGGGACGGGGGGAAGACTGTCACAAATCAGGTCTGCAAAGAGGCAGGAGCAGGAAGAAAACTCTGGAATACAACCCTTTGCTAATGTGTTCCATGATAGCTACATGAACCAATGGTGTCCATTCTGAAGTCATAGGACACCCATGGCTGAATCCCAGTTCAGCTAAATCAGAACCTGGAACCAGTGGTGTGAAAGAGCACTGCTGTGCGCATGGTCCTGGGGTGCATCAGACAACACTTTAAGAAACGAACTGAGAGGGCAGGGGGTACATTCCCTGCATTTTAGCAGCCAGAAGGAGCACAAGGTTTCCTTAGAGGGTGAAGCATTTGGCACTGGAGCACACAAATCTCCTAGACTGACTGAAGAGGCTGATGAGAGGGAGTGTGATCCACCAGGAATCCCCCTGCAAGTGAGTGGGATTCAGGCAGCAGCTGCTCAGGCTGGGTTGTGCTCCTATCTTACTTGCACTGGAAAGGTTTTTGTTTTCACTACTTTTAAAGAGAGAGCAATGCAACCAAGCTCAAAGTAAACAAGAAGGCAAAACTAAAAAGAGAATGCCCATCATTCTCTTTTTACATACATCATAGATACATACATACATACATACATATTGAATTCTCATAAGTACATGAGCTGGTTTCAAAATTCTGGAAGCCTGACTCATCATCTCTGAAAAGAGACAGGCTGATTATTTATAATGGTCCAGAGGATGACCATGGGTGGCAGCACATTCAGAAAAAAGGGGCAGCAAAGCATATCTGTAGCATGTACTACAGCCAAGCACAAAACCCTCTGTTTATTAATGCGCACACACACACCCCTACCTCTCTTTCCACACATACATATGCACATGCACACATACCCCACTTTATGAAAAATGCTGCAGGTTTCTTATGGACAGCAGACAAACAGATTTTCACAGTTCTACTAGCAAAGAAAGCTCCTTAAAATAATGTGAATGGATTAAGGTTGTTGAGAAAAACCGTGCCTTGAACTGAATTTTCACCAGCATTTTTCAAGCATGCTTATTGTTAGGACTCCTGGAAGTTCAATGCCAGTCCTCGCCTCCTTACCAAAACAGTTGATTAAGAATGGTTATACGAAACAAGTTGTGACTATTTTTGCACAGACGCATCTACATTATGTGATTCAGGTAACCCCCACAGGCATGTGCAAGATGCCTGAAGGCTCTCGTATTCTGAGAAATATGCTCTGCGATTAAAACAAATATGTTCTGAGACTTCTTGGTATCAAGATGCATTGAAAAAAACATGTCAAACATTTTGACTGCTTCAGGCTAAAAAGGACCAAAAGAAAAGGCCTCTTTAGGTGTTCTGCTTCAAAGAATAAAGTGCACAAGAGCGGGAGGAAAGAAAGGAGGAGTGTACTTTTGCTCAGCCCCATCACCGTCATCCACAGATCCAAAAGCACATGGGGACTCCCATGGATACAAAAGGCTCCTTGCTGCAGGAGCTCACCCTCAGTGTGTGAAAGTACACAAGAGTGCTGAACAGGGCAGAGTGAGCATGCTTGCCTTCACTCCCCCCTTTTGCATGTTCATTATTCCCTGAAGAAGAAGAACACCTGAGCAGAGCTTGAGTTCCTTAAGTCCAAAGTATTTTATTCCAGAATTCAAGTTTCAAACTGTCTGTGGCTACACCCCCACGTCTCTGTCTCTGTTTCACCCCTTTCCTCTAATCAGCCTGCCAGCATCTATGAACTGACCTAATTACAGTTTGTAGGGGCAGGCACAAAATGGAGAAACCCATCCCCTTCTTTCCCAAGTACATAACATCAGACACTATTGGCAAACCAAACAATCAAAACCAAACCAAATAGCAGCCCAGCTGCAGGGGGAATCTATAGGTTGTCAGAAAGAAGTAGAGGTTAAAGAGAGGAGATGGGAAGGAGAAGGAATAAATCAGCCATTTCCCACAATATAAGCAATAAAAACTTCTGAAGGCACTCAGCTTTAAAGAGAAGGGGATGGGAAGAAAAATGGGCTGGCATCCTCTTTTTGTTTATTGAGCGATAAATGTATTGTGCCCTCGGCCAAAAAAAAAAAAAAAAAAATGGTGAGTGGGAGGAAATGCCAGGGCAATGAAAGAGCGGCAAGTAAAAAATTAGATTGCAGCTTTCGGAGCATGACAGAGAGGACACCCCACCAAGCTGAGCTCAGGCCTTGCTAGTTTTGTTTTTAGCAATCTATTTAGACTCAGTTTTGATGAGCCTACAAGAGATATGTTACTGATTTTGGCAGGGGAAGAAGGAAGCTCTGTGTCAGTTCAGGCTTTGTTTTGTTTTGAAAGGCTGCTGGAACACTTCCTACGGTGGCTTCTTCCATTGCTCAACTGTTCTGGATTTCCCAAGTGTGTATAAACATGCAAAACTTCCAGAGGGGTAGCCCTGCTTTTTCTTTGCACAAACATAGCAAATAGCCCCGTGGAACTTTAAAGATGCATCCTTTTATTACAGCATCAGCATTCATGGACTCTTGCAAAGTCTGATGAAGTGATCTCCAAGCCACAAAAGCCGTGGTCATGATCAGTCTATTAATCCTGAAGGAAAGCATGGGGAATCTCAGGTTCTGGGTCAAAATCACAGCCTCCTGGGATTCCAGTCTGGTTCTCCAGGATTTCTCACATGGCTACAACCCTTCTTTCTCCACTGCTTTTCGCAACCACAACTCGTTTGGTGGCTTCCAGACTTCTGTGGAGTGTTGGAAGGGAGAAGGTTCTAATGTCTCTCCTAAGGCTTATTTTAGTGGTAGTAAGAGATTTGAGTTGCTGGTGGGCAAGGTCTGTGTGTATTTTTGGCCCCATCCTCTTTGCTTTTGTCCCCATGAGTAGAACATGATCAGCAAGCGTTTCCTGGAGAATGAATTGGACCCTTGGGCTGCTCTATCATGCCCCAGAACTGTATTCCATAGCAGTGCACAGACATTTGTGAAATACCCCAGGAAAACCATGCTGAATGGCTACAGCCTGGACACATAACTGGCAGCACAACCTTACAGAGCAGGCTGCTTTGCACAACAAATGGGACTGCCATCAAGGAGGTTGCCCTTTGGATCAGCTGGAGCTTTCATCTAGGAAGTTGCTGGGCTGGGACAGCTGCAGAAGGGAGGCAACAAGAGCACTCCAGCCTGGCAGCTCCTTCACGCCTCCCAAAATGAGGGGAAAAACAAAAACAAAAGTGGGCATGACACTTGTCTGGAAAAGCACAACCAGCCACCATTCACAGGCACAGAGTTCTGTCCCTCCAGACCGCGACCTCCCTAAGTAGGTTCCATTTGGATGCCAGGAAGCACTTCCTGACAGTCAGGACCCCGAGGGTGTGGAATGGGCTTCCACGGGAGGTGGCTGAGGCCCCATCGGTGCGGGTGTTCAAGGATAGGCTGGATGTCCACATTGTGGGCATGTTGTGAGTGGAGCCGGCTGGAGCCGGGGGTCAGACTAGATGGCCCAGGAGGCGCCTTTTGACTCGCGCTGTTTCTGTGTTTAGGTACCAACATATTTGCTTTGGAAGTGATGAGAGGGGCATTATTTTGGAGTTCAGACTGGAAGGGCAACGTGCGCCCTTTTCTGTCTCTGTGATTCCTCTGGAGCCAACCTGACTTCTGGGTCAAGGCACCGCCTTTGCACACGAGCCTCCCACATCACTCAGTCTCCTTTCTGGGGGAGTGTAACACTTTGTATTTTAAAACACAGAAATCTGTTCCATAAATATGAATGTTGATATGGATAATCTCTCTCTCTCTTTCTCTCTGCCTGCCCTCTCACAGTCTGCCTGTTTCTCTGCATGCCAGCTCTCCGACAGCCCTGTTCCAAACCCCCATTCAGACAGACACTCTGGTCTATGATCAGCTTCACTTCTTTGCTGACAAGTGCTCCGTCCCATTCTGGTTCCAGTCCTGCTCTTCCAGTCTCCACTGACCTTTGTCCCCATATCAACACGCTACAGTCAGCTCTGTCTATACAGCAGCAAATTTTCAAAGTCCCAACTCTCTGCATTCCCAAAAGCCGCTCAATAGCCCATTCCTCAATATGGTGGCCAAGACAGAGGGCAGTCAAGCACTTGAAGGGCTCTTAGAAGACAGTCTTCTCTCTGAGGGTGTCCTGTGTTTGAGGGCTGCCCAGTTCAAGTCTAATTTAAAGATCAAGAACCATAAAGAGGGAGACCCCAGGGCCTTCAAGTTGGTGGTCAGCAACAATTAGTACTGAGGCAGCAGACTAAGCTGCCAGTTGGTCATGGTCTTCGCCATGATGGTGAGATGCTTTTTATTTCTTCTTAAATTACGTCTAAATTTTCTCTCTTTACATATAAATCCTAACCTGCAAATTGTATCCAAAAATATTGCCCCTCCTTTTCGGTGATGTATAAGCAATCACACTACACCCTAAACCGATCGCCCTGGGCAGTGTTAGGATGGACATGTGTAAAGAATTTAGCTAGGACACAAACCAGAAGATAAAACTCTGGCTTGCTTTCTGCACATTTTCATATAGTTTCTGCATTCTGTTACTGACTATACTTGCCCCCACCCCCCAAGCCAAGCTCTATCACCACACGCCCCCCTTCTGGCACTGAGCAGCTGAACAAGAGGATCATGTGGGCAAATTATTCACTCACAACAGCTTACATAGCTGCAGTGCTGGAGGGAGGCTCCCTGCAAACACAACCTCCCATGCTTCCATTCCAGTGCAAGAGGGGAATCAGAGGTCAGTGGGACTTGACAAAAGTAGAACAGAAGAATTTCAATTCTCTTCACCATGCAAAAGCATCTAAAGAGCAAACAGCTTCTGCAGGACCAAATGCCCCAGTGCCACCTTGGCGATGCCAGCCAATAGGTTTTATCACAAGAGTGGCACTACGAAGCAGAAAATGATGAGAGGTTCTGCACGTCAGAGAAAGCAAAAGGAGCTGTCTATCTTAAAACTTTGCTGGGTGAGGAATGTTAAACAGAGAAAAATAAAGTGGTGGGTATCCATTTATCATCATTATTTAAAGGTTAATACCCTGTTCTTCAAGAAAGGTTTCTGGTTGTCCCTGGTTTACAAAAGCTACAGGTGAGATATAGCACTGGTATGAAAAGGACTCCTCATGAGGCAAAGCAAGCTGGAAGAACTCGGAGGAAGAAGCTGTGTGTGAATGAGCAGCATTTGCTGGACTTAGGAAGAGGAATTTGGATGCATATGTGGAGGGAAACTGCTCTCCAAAACCAGCTGCTGACCAGGGTTAGAGAGGAAAGATGGCATTACCTCCAATCCTTGCATTGTAAGCAATTCCCACAATGCAGTTAGAGTTGTTTGCTGATGCTGCCACTTCTCCAGCACAACGGGTGCCATGCCTAGGAAACATAATCCACAGAAAAGTTTACATTCTGGAATAATCACTGGATTAGCCCAGTATAACCTGAATGTGGCTGACACCTGAGACAGGCACTGCTGTACTGAGACCAGGGCCACAGCTGACAGCTGCTCCTTTTCATTGAGATAACCCAGCAGGATAGCTGCAGGTTTGAGGAGGCCCTGGGCAGGTCGGGATGCCCTCTGTAGGACATGTTTCCCCTTCCCATGGGCTTGCTTCCCAGGGACTTACTGAATGTGACACCTGTAATTCTAATCTTTCTTTCCCAGCACTGCATGGAAGGCCAGGAAACAGAGGAGGAGCCCTGCCTGCGACACTACTCTGCTCACTTCTGCTGACTGCAACCTGCCAGGTGGAGGCACCTCTCTGCTGTGCTGTGTACACTGCCATCATTCCTCTTCCCAGGGCACATAAGGGTGGGCCCAGAGGCACTGGGGAGAAGGCTGACCCAGGGCAACAGAAGCTCCCCCTTGACAACAGAGCCGCTGCTCCTTCCTCTCCTTCTCCTTCAGATGACCTGTTGAACCCACAATGGGCTGGCAGGTCATATGAACCCAGGAGACAAACCCCATTACAGGTTACAGGAAGCAGCAAGTGAGCTACTTGATACGAGTGGCAAAACCCCTTTTTTCTTGCAGCCATCTAGCCTGTGCAATCATTTTGTGTGGAATGTTTATTTCTGTCTCCCTAAAATGCTAGAAAGTGGCCAACCGGGGTAAAAGAAAGCAACTCTTTCTTTTCACAGTTGCCAAAGAAAGAGCTCACAAAGAGGGAGGCCTGCAGTTATCCGATTTCTGGACTCCCGTGAGGATGGGAGTAGTGCAGAAACAGAGAAGAGGACTGAGAAATGCTGAAAGCAAGAGGATCACACCTGAAAGGAGATGTACTTGCTACTCCCTTTATGAAGGAAGACAAAACGTCCTCCACTTTTCTTTTCAATTGACAGCTATCAAGTGTGCACAAACCAAAGTATACACAACCTCAGGTAGTCAATGTCTATGGCGGAGGCACACTGTACTTTGACAGCAGACACTTATCAGCATACTGGACAGGCAAAGCTCCACATTTTGGTCCTTTGTAGGTGCAGAGATGTGCACCTGCAAAGCATCCAAGGAAAGGAAAGGAACGGAATGGAACGGAACGGAAAGGAACGGAATGGAACGGAACGGAAAGGAATTGCATGGGCTTGTCATCTCCCCAGGTTAAAAAAGGTAAGGAGCCAGTGACCGTTGCTCCAAGGTGCTGCTGAGCACCAGTGGAGTGCCTGTCATTGGTGGTGGCATGTGCTCTGGAAAAAGAAAAGACAGGAACAAAAAGGGGTTGTGTTTGGAGTAGGCTGGGAGGGAGAAACAAGACAAGTTGTGCCACAGGGGACACTGGGATACAGGCTGGCAGACCAGGGAGAAGGAGCAGGAGACTGCACAGCTCACTGGCAGGTGGGCTGCCATATTTTGCAGACCTGCCCCTGGGTGCGTGCAGGAGCAGTCCGACTCCTGAGCCTACCCCTGCCCTCAGCAGTGCTCCAACGCAGACAAGCTTGTCCCACCAGTGAGAACGAGGCTCAGCCTCAGAGCTCACTTTCAGTGTTCCTTCCCAGATGGCAATTGTAACAATGAGCATTTGCTCGTTTCATTTCCGACAGTGATGACCAGCCCCACCAGCCCCTCAAACGTTCCTCACTCACCCACTTTTCTTTTGGGGGCCTGATGCTCCACGGAAGCATGGGCAGCAACAGAAACGAGGTGAAGTAGCAATGCCACCCCCATGTTCCCACTGCCAGGCCCTTGTGGCTACTTGGAGGGACACGTCACGTACAAATTGTAGTGCATTCAGATGTTAAATTAAAACCAGACTGCAGTCCTAAACACTCTTCCTCAAAGCCAGCTCAATCAGAATTGATAAAAGAAATAAGAGAGGGGATGGTTAATGTGAAATTTACTGCCACTTTTCTTTTAGATATCTAATATGCAGGGCAGAGCTGGGAAGGGCCATCAAGCTCAATCCCCTCGTCCACCTCTGCATGTGGTCACCCATCCAGCTGCAGACCTGTGCCTTTCCGGCTAGCAAAGGTGACCTGACATGCAAAGCTATGCAGGCCACAGACTCCCGCATTGCCTCCTCTGTACCTCCTTCGGGCACACTGCAGCCTCTGGGTTCCCTCTGGTTTTTTTTCTGTGTACCACTTTTGCACTCAGGACCACTTCATCTGTTATAGGCTGGTGAACACTGGAGGTGTTGGCTGCTTTTTAAAATGGGAAAAACATTAAAAAAAGCAAAAACCCCACTGGTGAACTGAAATGTTTCACTCTGGGAAGAGCTATACCATTTAATCCTGATGAGTGAACTACACATGAACCTTGGTAGAATTATGATGGCTTTAGACTTCGGTAGAAAAAGCCTATATTGAAAACTAGGGCAGACACACCTGCAAAATAACTGGGCAAAGTTTCCCCTCCCTTCTGTGCTCTGCATCCCAGTAAAGCCCTTGTAAAGGAGCCCCACTTTCGTCAGTTTCAGAAGCATGTAAATGTTTTTGACAACTAATCCACTAAATTAATGAAATGCTCAGGGGATTAGTATCATTAAGGTGAGAAATTCACTGAAGGCTCTGTGTGCGTGTACGAAGTGAATTCCTGGCTCAGACCTGAAAGCCTGGAAGGTGAAATTACAGTGCAGAGCCATTTGCAGTTTTCACTGCACGACTCTTGTTTGTCGGGCTGCCGAGATGCTTGGGAAAGTCTCTCCTCACTGGGCTGGGAGGGAATATCGTTCTGCGCTTTATGCAGCCACCACAGTGCCCCCATTCAGACGTGGCACCAAAGCACGGGCAAGGAAGCCTGATGCCCAGTGGACAAGCCACAGTTCTAGCAGCTGCTGTGCTTCCGGAGGCCACTGCACCTAAAGCCCAGTGGGCTCAGCAGAGAGAGGGAAGGAAAGCAAGGAGCAGCAGCTCCGAATCAAGCCTTGTGTGGGAAATCGGAGTGCAGCTTGGGTTTCAAACTGTAGTGGAAATAGGAGAAGCACCACAGCTGCTGGAGGTAAGGTATGCGTGACATGCAGCTGGGGAAGTTATCCAGGACAGGCAGCAGGGTGCGGCAGCCCTCGGGCTTTTGAGCAACCTGCCTTGGGGCCAGAGGAGGAGCCCAACCCTGGCTTTCCTTAAATCTTCTTTTAATCTGAGGAAATCACAGCTTCCTGCTTCCATTTATGACTTGCTCTTATGCTTTTGGCAGTGTTATACGGACACGGGAAAGCAGCCTGTAAATATTTTAAAAGGCAGCAATTTCACCTCCCTCCGTACTCAAGTGATGAGCATCCCTACTCAAATTCTACACCTGCTTCCTGCCTGCTGGTCCTGGACCTTGTGCCAGTTTCTCATCTTCTCCTTCCAACATTCCACTGCCCTGTCTCCCTGCCCTTTGATCTGGATACATCCCGACCTGTGTCTGTCACTTGTCCAGCTGCAATGCTTTCTGGTCTCATGCTCTCCAAAGTGTCTCTGCCTTTTCTCTCAGAAAAGGTTCCAAGAACACCTGTGTGATCTTCTAATGTGTTCCAAACCTTGTGAAAACCCCCTCTTCTTTAAAGGCTCTGATATAAGATCAGATTGTTTTGGTCCCAAGGGCCACCTGGGATACCAGGGATCCACACGCCTGCGTAGCGCGTGCACATACACAGCCTAGCAATCCTGACAGAGCTCACTCTTTCATCAACGTTAGCAGTGGTGGGAAGAGAACAGCCTGTATGAGTTCCTCCGGGTGAGGCAGCAGAGCATGGCAGGGGAAATGCAACAGTGCTGGGTTAGGGCAGCCAGGCCAGGGTGGGGGCGAGTGCTGTGAAGTCCTTACAGGGGGCAGAGCTCTAAATCCAAAATCTGGCTATAATGAAGCCTAGCCACATGTAACTGAAAGAAACGTGCATACTTTGCCTCCTCACTCTGCCTCCATTTCCTTCCCCTTCCTCATCTGCTTCACTTTGTGTTTCTTTTTAGAATGTAAGATTCCGGGGGCAGAGACCTGCACTTTCATTCTCTGTAAAGCACCATGGGGATAAAGGGTGCAACCATCATGATACGGGCTTCCACAGGAGGTGGTTGAGGCCCCATTGGTGAGGGTGTTCAAGGATAGGCTGGACATGCACATGGTGGGCATGTCATGAGCGGAGCCGGTTGGAGCTGGGGGTCAGACTAGATGGCCCGGGAGACCCTTTCTGACTCACTCTGTTTCTATGTTTCTATACAGCTGCTGTGACATAACTACATTGATTCACTAAAGTTTATGGGCCAACACCTCTTGTCTAGGAGGGTTGCACTGTCTTAAACATCTGCATGGCAGCCAAGAGTTCAAGCTGCAGGAGCACAGAAAAGCAGCAATCAAAAGAGCATTGTTGTTACAGGCACAGAAACCCTACCAGGAAAGAGAAGCAATCTGACTCTAGGTGCTTCTCTCATTTTTTAGCTTCTCAAATTCTCAGCTTTGGAAGTAAAATTAGGTAGCACAAATGCAATCCATCTACATACACCCTCCCGCTGGAATCTGGCTTTTTCCTTTTAAGGATGAAGGTGTCCTTTTTGTTTATTGTTTAGCTTCTGGTTATTTCTGCAGTAAAGCAGGACACAGCCATAGTCAATGAACAGCTAGCTTTTCTTTCAGGGTATCCGGGTGGGCATAATTAACACTTAAGGCTTAAGCTTAGCAAAACCAGGCCAAATCCTTCACAGTTCAAGCATTAAGTTAGCATGAAAAACCAAACACACTTGTTTTCATTGGTGGCATCATAACGCGGAGTAGGATCTTCATCATTTCCATTGACATCATAGCTTGCACTAGGGTCCTGGAAGAAACACAGAGGAGGTTGTTCACATTAGAAAAATCTTTAAAATCAGGCCTGGAAACAAGGAACAGCTTTTATTAGTGGAAAACAGGAGAAAAGGCACTGTGATGGAACTGAGGCTCTTACAAACAACAAGGCTGGGGACCTGCAAGCAATCCCTGTCTCCAGAAATAGAGAGAACACAGGAAGACACAGTTTCTGACACCCCAAATAAAAAACACAACTCAGCTTTGCACAGGTGGAGGCCTTGGAGAACTTCTCCCAGTCAGAGTAGGCAGCACTGGACCAATGGTCTGCTCCACATAAGGCAGCAGCGCATGTTCAGCTACTGGTACTCTCACCTAGCACCTCAGAAGTCAGAAGAAGCAAATGAGAAGCCCTGTTTGACACGCAGGCCTCTGGCATATAAGCCGGTCTGTTGCTGAAGCAGTTGTAATTAGCTGGTATTGCTTTTTCTTTTATTGTGGTGCTCTGAATGTACTTGTTCCACCCTAATGTTTTCATTAGGATTTTGTTAAGCTGGATTTTATTTATTCATTATTTCAATTTGTATGCCACTACAATAGCCCATGCTTGGGCTCTCTCTGCTAGTCACCACAAGAACCTTGCTTTGATGGAAAGGTGGAACAGAAAATTTAATAGTCAATCAATTATCTGATTGATTTATTAATGAATGGGGCCCTTAGCCTGAGAAAAAGGGCTAACAACTAAGCAACGGAGTTCTTGTTTTGCATGCAATTCATTTCCTAGCATCTCTTGCCAATGTGATATGCTAGCAGATGAAATGAAAGACCTTTCTCTGACTGAACAGGATCCACTACCAGTTAGAGTACGCAACACAGGGCGTACAGTCTGGCCTGGTATAAAGCAGTTTCCTATGATGGATTAGACTGCTGCATGGCATAGCAGGCTATCAATAGCAGCTGATCTTAGAGTGTCTTATAAGAGCCCACCACCACTACCAAAAAAGAGAGAAAGAAATCCAGAACCGGCAGTCTGGAGGTTGCCTATTCAGGGTTTAGACAATAAAAGGAAGTCCTACAATTTCTGAATAGGGAATGCTGGGAGTGGCCAAATTTTTCTGCTTAGGACTGCACAGGACTGCAGCCTTTAGGTCACAAAATGAAGAGGACAGAAACAGAGAAGTCCAGCTTGCTACTGAGACAACATTCTTCTGTCTCTCAGGAGAGAGCTCTAGCCAGCAAAACTCACTCTGAGCTATCCTTGGTCCTGTTCTCACTGCCCATTACACAAGAGGGCTTCTGCCTTTACTAGTTTGCTAGGCCAGATGCAGTAACTTTGGCCAGACTCTACCAAACCAACACCACCTTGCCTACTGGGACCGGACTGCTCCATATACTCTGGTTCTAAAGGAAGAGGAGCCAAGCACACCACAGATCATGCCTGTCTACATAAGAACTTCTTCTCCCCCTTGCACAGTGAACAAATCTGAGTGTTGAATCAATGTCTTCTGGCTGAAGGTACAGAACTGACTGCCATGTGATCCTTGCCTTCATCAGTCTTCTCCAATACCCTGTAAAGGTTGCGCTACAGCACTCCTAAACAACACTGGAGGTGGTGCCCAAGTCTCTCGCATGCCCTTGGTGGATGTTCCTCCCAGCATGACATGAGACTGTGCTCCAAAGTCCTCTTTGTGACACAATGGTCTATGGGGCATCCCCAGATTCCTTGCTGGGAGGAATGTCTACCAGACTGTCCAGCATGGGCAGCCAGACATTCCCTGGTCAACTTGGTATCGGTCACATCATTTCAGAGCAAAGGGGAAGCTCTGGGTTTCACACTGAGGAAGGTCCTCTGGTTCACTTCAACCCTGCACTTGTTCCAAATGGCTCAGAGAAGCCTACATGTAGTTCCCAGGTGGCCTCCCATCCAAGGCTTTGACTATTGGGTGGCAAAGAAATACAGTTAATAATTAGGCCAGATTTACAGAGCTTCAACCATAAAACTGGCTGCCCATTAACCAATGAGCCACATTCAAGGGGGTTTTCTTTCCTTGCTTTGTTTTGTTTACAGAATCATGCCCCACCCTCAGATTACCCTTTGTAAGCTGTGAGCTATTCCCATTACTGTCCCCTTTATTGCTCACATGATGCAGAGCAACACCGCATGTTGCTGTCCCCTAAGGAATTATCTAGAGCAAGGCAAGGATTTAGTTGAGACAGGAAGAGGAAGAGCGACTTGGAATGATGTTCTATGCAAAGAATTTTCTGCAGACAGGAAACACTGTCTTCCACACAACATGGAGCTGCCAGAACAGGTCTTGGCTGCAAGAGATGGCTATATAAGCACACAGAAACAACTCTCGACCTGGCACACCACCTTTCCCTACATGCATCAGTTTGATTCCTGCGCTCTTCTGAGGAGGCCTTGCTGATTGCCGCACAACCAACAGCATGCCATTAATGGTACCTCAATGGGTTTTCTCAGCAGTGTGGTATTCACCCTCTGGAACACTCTTCCATATGTGGTCTGAGACACAGAAACTGTGGCCACCCTTCGATACCTCTTGAAGAGATGCCTGTTTTCTTGGGCTTCTGCCAACATGAAATTACACTGCTCTGTTTTATTATTTCTGTATGTTTTTATGATACAATTTTATGATTGTAGTGTGCATGTCTTATGCCACTCATTTATGATATCAAGGGGTATATGAGCAGTTTTAAGAGCAAAATAATTAAATAACAGAAGAGCCTTGTGCCATGTTGATTCTGTAGTAAGTTCATCAGCGTTCAACAGGTCTTACTCTCATGCAAACAAGCACTTTCAAAGCTTACACTTTACTTACATAATTTTGTGCCAGGTCTGGGTGATGCTTTTCTATGCCATCATCGAGGATGGTTATTACTACATCTTTGCCAGTGTATCCCCTCTGCCAGGCTGCCAGAACATTCATTTCTGACCGGCATTCACTGTCATTGTCTTCACAGTGCTGAGGACAAAGACAACAGTAGGTTAGCTCTTTCTTCCCCACACCTGCTACATACTGTCTATCGAGCAACACAAGCCACAGGTGGGCAGAAGGTAGTTCCCTGGATGTTTTGAACTTCAAGTCCCAGAAGCCCATGGCCAATGATTTGGAATGCTGGGAACAGAGTCCAAAGCATCTGGCTATCTAATTCCTGCATGCCCCAGAATGAAGCAACACATCATACAGCTAAGCAAGTGAGTTTGGAAAACAGAAAGCCAAGCTGGTGAGGTTTTTTTTTGCCAAGATCCCTTCCAGACCATCCAAACAGGTTAAAACTTCCAGCCCAGTCTTGTAACTCGCTCCCTTGTAAGCAGGCACTCAGCCGGTCACTAGAATGATCACTTATTGCTTCAGACATTTAACTCTCTAGCTGAAGTACAAAGAATGACAACAGCAGAACTTCTGCCCACACAGGTGCCACAGACATCTCCCTTGGCACCATCCCACCCCAGGCCTCCTGCCCTTCCTAAGTCAGCCACTCTATGGTAGACATAGCTCCTTCCCCCCATAATACAAGGACCCAGGATTATCTCCTGAAGCTGATTCCTGGGGGATTCAGGACACATGAAAGAAGTGCCTCTTCACACAGTTGAACAATGGAACTCAATTCCACCAGAGGCAGTGAAAGCCATCGATTTGGACAGCTCCACGTGAGGATTGGACCATGGGGGAGCAAGCTATCAACAGCTACCAGCCCTGACTGCTATCAGCTACTTCCAGGATCAGAAGCAGCATGCCTCTGGGCACCAGCTGCCAGGGAACATAGGTGGGAGACTGCTGCTGCTGCTGTTCTCCTGTCCTGTCTGTGGGATCCTGTGGATGGCTGTTAACAGAATGCTCGACTAGGTGGCCTGCTCCAGCAGGGCTGCTCTTATGTTAGAAACATGGACACATAGAAACTGAGTGAGTCAGAAGGGGTCTTCCAGGCCATCTAGTCTGACCACTGGCTCTAGCCAGCTCCTCTCACGACATGTCTACCATGTGCATGTCCGGCCTATCCTTGAGGGAGAGAGACAGGAGGAGTGCGTCCCTGTTGGTTCTCCTGGACCTCTCGGTGGCTTTCGATACCATCGACCATGGTATCCTTCTGGATAGGCTTGCGGGATTGGGAGTTGGAGGCACTGCTTTGCAGTGGTTCTGCTCCTATCTCAATGGCCGATTCCAGAAGGTGGTGCTGGGGCACTATGGCTCTGTGCCATGGCTGCTATGCCATGGAGTTCCGCAGGGGTCCATTTTGTTCCCCTTGCTATTCAACATCTACATGAAACCGCTGGGAGAGGTCATTAGGAGGTGTGGGCTGTGGAATCATTAGTACACTGATGATACCCAGCTCTACCTCTCGTTTTCCACTAATCCAGGTGAGGCAGTGGCTGTGCTGAACCGGTGCCTGGCCGGTAATGGGCTGGATGAGGGCCAATAAACTGAGGTTCAATCCAGACAAGACGGAGGTCCTGTTGGTAGGTGGGTCAGGCTTCGGGATGGGGGACCTGGACCTTGTCCTGAACGGGGTTGCACTCCCTCTTAGGGACAGGGTTCACAGCTTGGGAGTGCTCCTCGACCCGGAGCTGTCATTAGAAGCTCAAGTAACAGCGGTGGCGAGGAGAGCCTTCCTTCAGCTTTGGCTGATCCATCAGCTGTGTCCCTACCTGAAGAACGACTGCCTGGCGACTGTGACACATGCATTGGTAACTTCCCGATTAGACTTCTGTAATGTGCTCTACGTGGGGCTGCCCTTGAAGACAGTCCAGATACTTCAATTGGTGCAAAATAGAGCTGCCAGGTTGCTGACGGGGACTGGGCATTGTTCTCATATAACCCCAGTTCTCCATCAGCTTCACTGGCTCCCCACTGAAGTCCAGGCCCAATTCAAGGTGTTGGTTATCACCTATAAAGCCCTCAACGGCTTGGGACCTGGTTATCTAAAGGAGCGCTTGCGTCCATATATGCCCTCCCGCCCCCTGAGATCGGCGGAGGAGGCTCTTCTCTGGGAGCCCTCTGTGAAGGATATTAGGAGGGTGAGTACCCGGAGGAGGGCCTTCTCTGCGGTGGCGCCCCACCTATGGAATGCACTCCCCAGAGAGGTCCACCTGGTGCCGTCATTGTTTTTCGGCGCCAGGCCAAGACCTTTTTATTTAAATGATATTTTAATTGTTAATTGTTGTTCTTATTTATTGGTTTTAAACTATTGCTGAGATGCTCTGAATTTTTAATGTTATTCTATCTTAAGTTGTTTATCTTTTTTGTAAGCCACCCCAAGGCTTTCTGCGATGGGGGCGGCATAGAAATGCTATAAACAAACAAACAAACAAACATCCTCACTGGTGGGGCTTCAACTACTTCCTGTGGAAACCCATTCCATACCCTAGAGATCCTAACTGTCAGGAAGTACTTCCTGGCATTTAACTTGAACCTTGGTTCCCTAAGCTTTGCTCCATTGGAACATGTCCCGCCCTCCTCTGCAGGGAAAAACAGGTCTCTACCCACCTCTGTGTGGCACCCCCTCACATACCTATATGTTGCCAACAGATCCCCTCAGTCTCATCTTCTCCAGGCTGAAAAGACCCAGTTCCCTCAGTCTCGCCTCATCCGGCTTCCCCTGCAATACAGCCACCATCCTTGTGGACCTACGCTGCTCTGACTCTAACCTGACTATATCCTTCTTGTAATGTGGAGCCCAGAACTGAACACAATACTCCAGTTGCAGGCGTACCAGAGTCATATAGAGTGGCAGTAACACCTCTCTCAATCTAGAAGCCACGCTTCTGGCTATACAACCAAGTCACACTGCTGACTCATGTTCTTAAAAGTCTGGGTAATAAAAATGTCTACTTTTTTTTACCTGTTGTATTTTATTGTATTTTCTGGATGCAGGAATGTTAAACACCATTGTATTTTTAAAATTAGGTGAGTCGGTTGTTCAAAACTAACCAAGGACTGCAGTCCTACCAAACTCCACTGAACTCTTGGGGACTTATTTCTGAGTACTTCTGCTTAGAAATCCTAGAAATTCTGGTCAACTACCTTGGGCAGCAATTGGGCTGGTTCACACAATGTGAGAAGCCATGATGAATCCTTACTGTTTGGGGTCTGTAATTTCATTACAGCCATTTCTGGAGTTCCTACATGTAGGATTAGTTTTCTGAAACCACAGAGAGAATGCAGTGTTTATTCTAAGATTTACCATAGCTTCTCTAGTTGTCTGAACCCAGGATCCATTTTACCATTGTTGGCATGAAACACCATAGAATCCCTTGGCAAGAGTGGCCCTAAAAGTGGGAACTTCTGCCCTTTGATGTCTATTGCCCTTAGCTCCCTAGCAAGTCATGTCATTGCTCACTTTATTCCCAGAAGTAAACAGGGAGACAGCACAAAATGGAGGGAGAAGGGACAATGATGGCAAAACTGCTTATTTTTGTTCAAATCTCCGTGGAAACTGAAGCAGCTGGGAAGCACCGCAGACATGCTGGGGCACTTGGGCTGGGGGGAGCCTGCCTCAGACTGCAATGGACCACGCAGGCGGAGTGGTCCGGGGGGATGAATAGCAAAAGGAGAGAGATTTTGCTGATGGAGCTGCTGGAATGTGGGCAAGGCCAGAGGATGGAGTGAGGACCACTGTCTGGGTAACCACGCGATCATCTGCCTGGGAAGGTCAGGCAAAACTGTGCATGCCATGGCAATGTGTGTTGCTGTGTCGTGTGAACCCAGCCATGGCCTCTAAGCAACTAGAGAGAAACACTTTGAAAAGCTTGTTTGTGTTAATCTTTAATCTTTTACCCAGAGCTAGGAAAGCCTGCGAAGGGTTATAAGGGTTATAAGCAGCTGTAGCCAACACTCCTGCTCAGTGGGTAGAATTCTGTTCCGTCTTCTTGTCTTCCCACTTTTGTTCTTTGAGAGCCTCAATGCCAGCTGCATTTGTTACCTGTTTAATAAAGCTTCCCGACTGTTGCCCAGAAGCATGCTGTTGTGCATGGACCACAGAGTGGTGTACAATCACACGAGAGTTGCACAAGGAACCCAAATAAGACTACTACATGAGCTACTTGTGCAACTGAGAAATATGTTGTGTGAATCATGTATTAGACATTGTCAAAATATGCTCAGCTAGATTTACAGCATGCATGCACATGCACACGCAAATGAATAGTTACCATGTACCACATTTCAGGCCAGAGAGGGTCATTGAAGGAAACAAACTGGTGGTCACGTCGAACACGTCTTTTGACTCTTCGTTTTACTTCCTGTTGCTGCAGCCATCTTACCTTCCCCATTAGTAAAATAACAATGATTAACATTTTTTTAAATAGCAGTGTAAATATTTTGAGAGATAAATAACTTTTATAAATCAAAGCAGAACAGAAAATTAACCACCCTGCACCATTTTTGTTAGCCCATACCACAACCAAAGGGGATATTTTTCCCACTAATTTGTGGGAAGTGCAAGTGGAAGGGAAGGAAATGCACAAAGAGGATCCACCACAGAAAAGTCCCTTCCCCTCATCCTTGTCCTCAACAACAAATGCCCTTTTATTTGCATTACAAAACTATGCAAGGCTACACAGGAACAAGTCCTACGGAGTTCTACCGGATTTCCTCTTAGGTAAATAGGAGGAAATAATTCTCCTAGGCACAGGATTATTCCTTAAAGATCCTAATGTTATTATTAAAGATCAGAACTTCTTCGCTGATAAAACAGTTTTAAGTATACAAATAGTTATTCATTCTATGGAACAAATTTGTCTGAGTCATGGTCTACCTTGCTCGACTTTCCCTTTTGGCTGGTTCTCCCCTTTTAAATCCAATAACTTTGGAACAAAGCAACAACAGCATAACCATTATTATACTTGATGCCAAAAATCAAACAAAGGCTGCAAGATAAAAATTCTTCTTTGTTGTTTTTAAAGGGCTTCAGTGCATTTTGATAATAAAAGGCAAGATAAAAATTCTAGAACTCTCTCCTTGCTCTTAAGAGCAGATGTTCTGCAGCTGCAGAAACCCCTCTGCACAACATTAACAAGACAAATCAGATTATAAGCACGCTGCACACTAAAAGTATGAGGCTAAAAAAATGTTTATTCATTATAAACAGAACAGGATTATAATACAACTCTACTGAATAGATGCAAACCTCACTGCACAAGCTTGTATGAAAATTAATTTTGTTTTTTCTCCCTAGCTTCTACAAGGACAGCTCCTTCTGGGAAAACAAGCATCAAATCAGGGATTAAACTCCAAGGTAGGAAGGGGTCCCCCAGGAAACTGAAAGATCTGTGGCAGAATCTCAGCAAGAGAGAAGGTTTCCTATACACGGATTAGCCTAACATTGCTGAAATAGTAAGTAGGAACCCCTGCACTGGAAGGCTGGTGCTGACCCTTCCAAATACTGCATTTTTAGCCATTGCTAAGAAACAAGCTGCATCAGACACTGCATGTGCTTAACCGAGCAGTTGACTTAAAGGACTGTCACAAGTTTTGCCTCAAGAGCTTAAAAATATCATAAAAACATGGGTTTGTTGTTTTTCTATTTTAAAAGCCCAGGGATTTGCTTTTTTTCATGTGGTTCATGAGGAGGAGGCTAAAATGGAGCCTAGGTTTTTCAGTGTTTGTTTTTTCATAATGCCACATTCCTCTTTGTCACGAATGCAGCAACATACACCATCACCTAACTTTACAGGCCTAGAAAATTACCTAAAACAGTCGCTTTTGTAGGTGACAAGGAGTACCATCTGGAAACCTCTGGTCTATTATCAAGACTGGCCCAAGAGGTGCTTTTGCAAAGGCCCGTCTGGTGTTTTGGAGCCTGATGGCAAGAAGGCAAGAGTCTGGCTCAGGACACGGGACCTGCTTGGGCCTCACGTCCAAGAGCAAAGCCAAACAAAGAATTGCCCTTTCTGATTGCGTTGTGTGCAGGAAGGCAGAGCCAACCTGCACAGAAGGTCACATTCTAACAGCATATTTATGGGGGTGGGAACCCTCCCCATAATTCCACACTGCCAGATAGAAAAACAAACCCGGAGCGAGCTGCCGCCATGGCCACCTCCTCCAGCTGGGGCACACAGTTCCTCGGAGGTGCCACCTTTAGACACCGCCGGTAAACAGCTCACAGTGTGGCTTAGGGCCTGTTGTTCTCCATTCAGTGTGGCCACCGTTGCCTGCAACAGTCCAGTGCATTTGTTTGCTTCAAGGAAGAGACTGCAGTTGTACCCCCGACAAGGAGAGCAAAAGTATGTATGGTTAATTGCTAATGAGCATGCTGATTACTGGGCTATTTCCAACACTGCCTGAATGCTAGAACAGGCGGGCCGCACAAGCACAGACAAGCAGCTTGATTCTGTTCGCTTGAGGAAAGAGCAAAAGTACCCAGCCAGCCAGTTCATGCTGTAACCTTCACTAAAGCCACTCCAGTCTCGAGCCATTAAAATGTGATGTCCTCGCTCATGATGTAATGCTAATAAGATGGCTCACATCCTTTGGGATGCTTCACATGTTATGAATTTCCATGTAAACATGAACTGTTGGCCATTATTTTCTCTGCACAATTTTCCTGAGGGTGGGAGGGTGGTTAGGAGAAAACTAAAGCAAGAGAGTCCAGGGCTGAGCTGCCCCGTGAGGAGATGCTAACTGCTGAACCATGATACATGGACACTAGTCATGACAGGCATGTACCAGCTGCTGGAATCATGCAGCACAGGGCTGTTGTGCTCCAGTCCTATAAAGGACCTGTAAGCTTCCTATAAGCAACAGGTCGGCCATTTTGAGAACAGGACGTTGGTCTGGAGCCATTCTAGGCCTTTGGCACGGCTCTTCGATGTTCACACATTCAAATTATCCCTTGTCTGGGAAATCCCGCATTCATGCAACCCACTACAGCTGTTCATTTCCTCCTGCAGCAGGAGCCATTGAAAAACAAGAACAGGAACTCAAGGCTTGCCAATAATCTCTAACAGGAGAAAATGGCAGCTGTGGTGGTAGTGGGGACAATTTCCAGGCAGGCTCCTAGACCACTTAGGAACAGAAAAGAGGCAGAAACAATTGTTCTCCTAATGTCTGGTATATTGAGCCATCTTCTTCCATTTAACTGGCTCAGATAAGAGTTGATGAGGATCTTTAACTGCTGGATCGCTCAAGAGAACCAACTCACCCTTCTGAGCTTAATCACAGTTTGTCATGCTTTCTGAAAAGGACTAGCAATAGTGAAGGGATTATTCAAATGTGTGATTTGGATATTCCCAAAATAATACTTAAAGGCTTCCTGTGACCTTGGCTAGAGCAATTCTTAGTTGGCTCAGATTCGCAAATGGGTATTCTCAGAATAGTTAGTTATGGAGCAAGGACACGTAAGTGCAAATGCCAGGCTACAAACCAGAATTATAAATATCGAGCTCTGCAAGAATCTACTGCCGTGTCGAGCTACTAGAAATTCCTCTTGAATCTTTTGTCTTTGAAGCAGTGCCCAAAGGGAGCACGGTGCCTACTGGAAATGAATTTCCTTCATTCATAGCAACCATTTTATTTTCCCTACACATCAAATGAAGGTTAGGACTTTCCTACGTGGAAAGACTTGCCCATGCAGCATAAATAGCTGTGTACTTTAATTATACTATATACCGTCTTTTAGTATTAAAACCCTATTATGGGAGCTCAGAGTCTCATTCTTTCTAAAACTTTTAGCGTTGGCCATCACATCCAGGGATCATTTTTCCATTTAAAGTTCTGCAGCAGGATGTTACACTGTGAAACACTCCTGTTCAGGGGTACAGCCAGCCATGCTCCAAGATACTCGGAGTATTCCATCTCAGAATCCCACACTCTACTTGCACTGAATCGAACTCTTGAGAAGATTGCTCTAAAAAAAATCTTTTCTTTCCTGAAAGGTTTTTTAGACCACTTCAAACCTTGCAGTTGCCAAGAACTTGCCAATACTTCCCCCTTGTTCTCAGTGGCCCTGTTTTGACTACAATCCTGTTGGCACTCATCAGCTGCATTTACTATTAGAGGAAATTATGACAAATAGGCTATTTCTAAATCCACACAACTTGCTGTACGAACAGCCACCATTAAACTCTGCAACCCTCCTGATTTACTAAACTGCAGTGGGGATGAAACAATTTTAATTTGACATGGACCCAGCAGTTAATAATTTATTAAAATTTTTGCCTGTCCCATTAGCCACAAGGGTTCAAGTTATATTTGCCTGGGAGTCTTTGAGGCCAAGCCTTTGACCATTTTGTTCCACCTCTCCCAGAAACATTTCCATGAGCAACCAATTCCACCTACTACCACCTGAAGAAGCCAGATAGCAAGAAACACTCCATAAAGTCAACTGGGACCATACCATTATTTCAGCAGCAATGCCAGCTGATCACAATAAGATCAGTGATGTAAGGGTAAGAATTGGCACATGAATTCCTTTAATTTCCCTCCTTTCCCCACTCCTTTTTCCTTTTGTATCATATCTATTAAATTGTAAGCCTCTGGCAATGGGTGCCCCTTTTAAACCACTGCAACACTTGAAAAATTTTGGATACTTTAAAAATACTATTTATGATACATGTCCCTGGTTCTGTTTGCTTTTAATTTGTCTGAATATGCAGTATTTTGACAGCTTTGCTCATATAATAAAACTTGACTGACTTAGATGTCACATCCTGCCTCTACAATTTGATTTATGCAGTTCAACAGTCCTAACATTTTAGAACAAAAATGGTATAAAAACAAATACTCTTTTACTTGCCTCCATCAAGGAAGTCTAGTTAAATTGAAAGGGACAAACTGCTAAACATGGAGGGAAAGGCCCTTGATCTACCAGTTGCCCTGGCAAAAAATCACCCAGCTCAGGAGTTTCTGAAATGGGATGTAAATTTCTTTAAAACATTAAAAAAAACCCCTAAGAAAATCTGAAGTGCAAAAGCTCTGAGAAACTTGGTTGATTGGAAGTTTCACTGTTTTAAAAACACACCCCTACCCAGCCTCTCTTCCAGCCAGCTGCTCAGTTATCAGAACCAAGGGACTCTGCCACTCCACCACTGCTGCTTAAGTGCAAGGTGGCACTGCTTTCCACGTAAGGAAGGAATTGCTTTACCACTAGCACTTGCACATCCGTGTGTGCACAACAGGTATGCCAGATGGTCTCCTGTGGAGTAAGCCATTGATGCCAAGGATGCAAAAAGGAATGGGGAACAGCAGCACTGATGACCATGGTGGTGAGAAGTGGATTCTCTGAGGGAAGGGACCCATTGAGAGCATCTCACCCAAGTGCCTTCAAAACCTGGGACCTGCACGGTTTTGTGGGGCCTACTGCTGTAACTCACCTTGGGCTTTAAATTAAAATGGCCCTTTCCCCGCAAAGTACAATCCACCTTCACAAGTTCTCTTGTGCTGTGGTAACGTCCCCTTATTTTGGAACCTTGGACAACCAGAGGTGAAGGTCAGAAGATGTCGGTAATGGACTTACATACCTTTGGATCCATTCTGAGGAAGTTGTGTGGACCCCTGCTGCTAAACGTTGACCTTTTAAAGGTCCTGCTATGATGGAAGTGGTAGTAGTCTTCTAGGCTCCCAATCTGTAACAAACCATGTGCAAAGAAGAGTCAGGATAGGCCAGAACCATAAGGAACATTTTCTTGATTGTTCATAGCATGTTAAAAACATCAATACAGTTTCCCCAGAACATTTTGAATTGGAACACTTTCTGGAGCCCTAACTGGAGCAAGATTGGATTTCTCAGGTTTATTAGATTAAACAAAATTAAAAACAAGTACTTCACATTAATGTTATTATTGTTACATAAAAAGAAATAGAGCATACTTCATGTAGTTTACATGCTATCTTCAAACAAATCCAAAGCTTTACATGGACGTTTTAAATGGAACATTTGTAAGTAACTTAACAACAATCAGCAAAACCCAAGCAAAACCCATCAGTTGATGGAATGGTGCCTGCCAGTAAAGTGACTTCCTAAGTCCAGCTGCAGCACTTCCTGATCTGCTCTGCAGGTGAAGGTTTGGGGAGTGCGTGGAAAGTAGCAGTGGGGAGAAGAGGGCAGAATCATCCTCTATGTGAGCAGAAATTCCCTTCATGTCACTGGACATGGCCCACTGGTTGTACTTCCCTTACTTTGGTTGTTTAAATTTGGGGATGGGGGTGCAGAGGGATGACAAAGGCAGTCAACACTGTTGGCAGACCTAGTTTTAATGGACCCAAAGAAATGTACATAAAATGCTCTGGTTGTCTATTTAATGAATTTTTAGAAATGGGAAAAATAATCACAGAAAAGCCCTGAAACTTTCCCTCCCCATAGCACTGACAAGAGATAGGTAAAAGCCAATTCTTAGCCAAGAAAGACTCAGAAAATGACCCACCCACCCAAAAGAAGAGTATATTCATTTTGTACAGCTAAACCCTGAGGACCTCTGGTCACCAGAAGGGATTAAGGACGGCCTATGCCGAGTCACACCAAGCACACAGCTAGTTTGAGAATGGCCAAGAAGGTTTTGCAGTGCTGCTTTGCTAATGGTGCCTTGGGCACCCTTCTCTTGCTGAACCACCAATGAATAAATAGACGTTCATGCAGAACAAGTTAAGATACCCCTTGCCAGGTGGTTTCCCCATCCCAACTGTCAGTTCTCCTCCTTGGATTTCTGCCTCCAGCCCTCTGTAAAGTGGTGGCAGCAGGGGGGTGGTTACACTAATGCAAACACTGGGACTTCGCCAAGCCCACTGACACCTCCCTCTTGGGTGTGGAAGGTGCCGTTTTGGCTACATAAGGCTCAGAGCTCAGAGTCAGTTCTCAGTCAGAACACAGGATGCGGCATCTGGACATGAAGGTTCTATTTAGCCATCACGGCTAACAACCAGCGATAGAAGCCTCTTCAATTAATTGGTTTTAGGCAGCAGCTGCAGCTTCTACCTCTGAGAATGATGGACTTTATACATGAAGTGCTCATCCTGTGCTTTCATTTTTCAGCCTGGAACCTTCTCCTGGTCAACGGGATGGCTGACAGAGGACTCCATGTTCTAGCTGTTTAGGAAAAAGAGGTGAGGGAACCTCTGTGCAGCATTTATGGTTTTGTGGGTCTCCTCTCAGGAGTCATGTCCTTCCTTTGTTATCTTTCTTCCAGAGGGGGCTGCATCAGTGGGTACTTCTGATGTCATGGCAGGGAATTTCAGTAGGCCCCTGGGAGCACCTTCATGGGGGTGGGGGGTGCATGTTGCCCATCCTTGTTCTGGCCAAAAAACCCACTAATAACAATCTACAAACAGGCTGGCTTCTCCGAGGGCACCCCTTGTTGCATCACCTCTTCCTCGATATGGCTTATGATTAGGACTGCGTGTGTCTGTCACTGGCAAATCAAGATTTCTGCACCAGAGAACACTCTTTCTGCCACCCTACTAAAGCAAAGAGCATTGGACTGAACTACTGTCTGAGAGAAGATACTGGGCTACAGGGCCATCTGCCTGCTATTCTGTTATAAGCCTTGTATGAATGAATGAGCGAAGGGTATTTAATTTCTTGGAGTCAAAGTAAAAATAAAATAGAAGCAACACTTCAGAAATGCAGGCGGCTAAACCACCCCTCCTTCTTCCCCCCACCTTCCCTAACTGCAACACAATATGCTTGATCCAAAACGGCCCTCAGAGTTCCACAGGAGTCAAGAACTTGGAAGCAAAACCCTCAGGAAGCCGTCTGCCCTTCACAGGTGCACACGCACACAAACACAGGCGAAGATCCATTGCTCCTCTGCCACAGCAGCAGCATCTGCAGCAGTCATGAGGAGAAAATACATGATGAGGAGCAGCAAACAAATGCACGCCACTCAGTCAGAGACTGTTCAAGGTCTTTCGATGAAGGCAGCTGCAGGGATGTTTGTTCCAATTGCTCTCCAATGGGTTCAACGAATTAATAGCAAATTAGCACAGTGGGAAGAAAAAACACAGTGGTGGAGATCAAGTTAAAAACCAAGCCCAATGTGTAGTTCATTCTTTAATGATAATAAAGTTATATAATCCATCTTTAATTACATGACAGCCTTAGAAAAGAAGTCTTAGTTAACCTATTAAAACTTCCATGATTAATTGGTTAAATCCACATAATCTGTACTCAAATAAACCAATGCTACAGAATGGGGTGGGGGGCTGGGGATCCTTCACTTGATTTTGTGTAATGCAGACATATGCTCCTTCTAGGCACAACCTTAGAAGAAAAGAAACCATTCTGCGAGAGGTAGGCAAGCTCTTGTTTGCACATAACAGCAACCCAGAATATGGGTTGAGTATGGGCTGCCATTGAATTGAGAATATCATTATATGCTAACCTGGTACTTTGGTTTAACTATGGGTTGTTAACCATGAGTAGGAAGAGAACCCAGAGTTCTCATACATGACAACAACCTACTATGCAACCTGTGGTCTAAATTGTTTTGTGCAAACTGGGTCACAGTCTGTGTTCTCACATAATGTCAAGACCTGGTTTATATTATTCCGGGGTGGCCAAAACAAGGCGCAGGAGCCACATACAGCTCTTTGAGTTTGTTTTGCGGCTTGCCACTCACTGCCCACAAGCAGCAGCCTGCTGCTCACCACCAGCCACCGCCACCCAAGGGAGCCTGCTTGTGACTCTGAAGCATCTGACATTTACTGTATGTGGCTCTTCCATTCAGCAAGTCTGGCCCTGTAGTAATCCCTAATTCATTGTGCTAGCCAGATTTCAACAAACCACGTGATGGCTTGGTGTTACATGTGAACCAAGCGAATATTTGTGAGTTCTTGTATTTAAGTATCAAGAATACTCTCATTCAATGTCAGCTGAACTCATTTGGGAGTGTGGATCTGCACTTGGGTGAGGAGACTTTTAGTCAAAGAGTTCATTCCTTCATAGGCAATCTAGCAGGTGGCACTTACATTTGGCCCTCATTTGGATTAGCTCCAGGAGTCGCTTGGAGCTCTCCTAGGTCCTGCCACCCCAGGATGGAACCAACTGTCAGTAAATTGGTCTCTGCTGGCTGCTCCATCTGGCCATGTTATGACAGTGACCATGCTCTCTTTCAGGCTGCCTTTTGCTTCTCGTGTCCAGCACCCTGCAGGCTCCCAGCCCACCTGCAATGGGACTTTAAAGGGACCAGAAGCTGAAAAATAGATCCAGTGACCCAGATCATTCATGGTTCACATGAGACCAACATTCTGTTCTCCAGAGAACACTGGCTGGAAGGGCCATGGCTGAGTGGCAAAGCATTTGCTTCACATGCAGATAGTCCTGGGTCTAATTGCCAATAGTTCCATGTAGGACTGGGGGGAAATCCTGCTGGACACCCTGAAGTGCTGCTGCAAATCGGGGTGGCCAATAGTGGGAGATTCTGATTCTGCGCAAGGCAGGTGCTTGAGAGCCTAAATGGCACCACAAGCCTTGTTTGGAGTAGGAAAACTATACCAAAAACTGGCAGCATGAAAATATATATGCATTTGCCCCCCTTCTCCCAAAAAAAGAACCCCGAAAACCCCTCAAGATAGAAAATAGCAGTGAGAAGACAATGCTGGCCTAAATTGAAGTCATCCCATTTGCCGACTTTTTCTCTCAACCCTAACTAAGAGGAGGACCCATTATTCACTTGTAGGACCACACGTGCTTTGCATATGGAGAGCCCTAAACGCCTGGTAGTGCAAGTTTGAAAAAGGATCAGGTCATTTCCTATGCTCTGTTCTACGTATTGGGCAATGTCACTCCTTGCAACAAGCCCTAATGGAAAGCTTGCATGTGAGCATTTTCCTGTTTTGCCTGTTTCACGTAGCGCAACCTGCTGCTGCACTTCAGGCAGTTCCCAGTGGCCTGCACCTTCCCAACATGTATCTGCATGCCTGATGGCAGAACCTGCACTAGAATGCAGCAGCTGAGGCTGAATAACCCAGTGTTGTCAGTTTTACTGGGCTGACATTTCCTCCACTTGAAGAGGTGACTGGCATTCCTCATTCCTGTTTTGCATTGATTTGACAAGGGGCTTTACAAGACAATGGAAGGTCCAAACATTTCAATTAGCACAATTTTTGCCAAGCGTCTGTTGCATGCTTTTACTATCCTTTTTGTTATATGAGCTACAGATATTTCAATTCGTGTATGCACACACACAGTTATATAGGACAGAAGTACCAATCAGATGTTTGCAATTCAAATGCATGTTTCTTTTCAGCAGGCATTTCCAACCCCCATATTGGTTAGCAATTTATTTCTGCAACATTATGCTCACCCCCACTGTTAAGAGTTTACATTTTCCAGCCTTTATAATGTTCATTTCGTTATAAACTCTAAATCTAGTTCTAATCTGCAATCCCTGGGGTCTTCATTTTTAGTATAAATTAAATTCATAAACAAGCAAGTTGAAGGAAATGCTCACATTCTCCACCACCCGCAAAGAGCTACATGGTCCCTTGTGCTTGTCACTTATAAAATCTAAATGCAAGATTTGAAATGCACACTAACAAAATGGCATAGAAA